CGGAGGTGAAGAATGAATTGATTCCCTTTCGGAGGGTTGGAGGCGGGGGAGTCGGGAGGAGTGCTGGGAGAGCAAGGGCAACATCCACACGCGGTCCGTTACATCGGTCTTAATGCCAATCGATTCCCAATCAATTCCGCGGGAGCTGGCAGGCGGAAAGCGTCGGACAAGCTGGACACAAGAGAAGTCTGGTGAAGCAAGGTTTAGGAAGGAGGGAAGTTGAGTTGGGGGGTGGTGGTGAGAGGAGGGTCGGAATAAAGGAGAACGATGGTGGTTCGAGATGTCGAGGCGGCGAGTTTTTGGAAGTGGGTGGGAAGGTGGGTTTGGTTTGGAAGGAGGAGGAGGAGGAGAACAAGAAGACAAGAGAGAGAGGGAGGGGAATTTCGTGTTTCTGACCACCACCACTACCACTACCACTGGTGCCGGAGACTAACTAGAAAATAATTAAAACTAACAACAAGCGTGAGCAGAGTACTCCGTAGAGCAACAAGAAGCGTCCAAGACGTGAGCAAGAGCCAGACAAGAGGCAGAGGCAGCCAGCCAAGCCCAGTCCACCGAGAAAGTGGGTTGGATTGTGGTTCGGCTTTGTGTGGGGAGGAGGAGAGGAAGAGGAAGAGGAAGAAATGCATGGGATTGCGATAACAGACCGATTGATCAATGTCGGAGCACACATGCGCACATACACGGACTGAATTCACGCACCTTTCTGACCTTCGATCGTTCTCTGACCCTCTCCTATGTCCTATACTTATGTTCTTGTGTTTTCTTTTCGATGTCTTTGATGGGCGCACCCGCTGAAGAAGAGCCCCCGGAAGTTCGTTTGTTCGTTTCGGCGGCGGTGAGGATGGCAAGCGATCTTCTTCTGGTCCAGGAAAAAACCTTAAACAATCAATGATTAGACTAGCATTGCTTGAAGCTTCTCTCCATCCCGTCCGGAATGCATCCCCCCAAACTCAATCCGGCATAACAAGGAACAAGAGGGTGTGAGAGAGGGTGTGGAAGAGAGAGCGCGAGTCTGAGGTCAGATCGTCTCTTGTGTAATTCCGAGGGTGGAGTGGACAGTACATCGAGTAAATAGTAGCTACCGTACTCTTCCGACGAGAAAGGGGGGAAACCATCATGGTTTAGCCAGAGAATAATTGAATCAGCCGTCCTGTCCTGCTCCTATGCATGCGTCCGACTTCTGGAAGATCATTCTTCGGGCTCGAAGGACGTCTGCATTGTTGGAGGGGAGACTGGAGAGGAGGAGGGGAGGAAAGACAGGGTAACTAGCCGTTGACGAGGATGAATAGACAACAAGCAATTGAGCATTCAACAATCACAATCACTTACCTGAGCTTTCTCTTGCGCCAGGATCACCTTATAGCGGCTGTATGTACCTGCTAACTCTTGAAAATTGGCAATTCAGATAAACAGACACCCAGACAGGGTGGTTGTTGGACAATATAATCCCCCGGATGGCAAGGTACAGTACAACAATACACTCAATAGAAAAGTACCAGTGCTGAGGGTACAAAAGTCCCCCAGACCACCACCCTCATGATCAATCAATCATCGACAATCATCAACCCTGGGCACCTCATCCATTACCTTGTATCATGGATCTATTTGCCTCTTTCCCGATACAGCCCATCTATGCTAACCCCTCGTTTCAACGTCATCATCACCAACCAAGACTGCATGCATCCCTCATCCTCGATCACTCCCATCTATCAAATCTAACATTCACATCCCTCCCTCTATTGCCTCCGGTCTCCGGTCTCCCTTCCCTTCCCTTCCACTTCCACTTCCACTTCCACTCCCCACGCCCCAAAAAATCCACCAAACCTCTACCTCCTCCGCCAACCCACCCCAGATAAACAAGACAGAACCGGAAGTAAGTTACACTCCACTCCACCAAAGAACCAATAGCACCGAAACCCCAACCCCCAAGCCACCGAACCCAAGCGACCAGCAATTCCGGAAAGTACTGAAACTGTCAGGGACGGATCAAATCCTTCAAGTTCTCTTCATCCTGCAGGGTACTTTCACCTCACTGGTTCGATGTCCCCCCTGGCCCCCAAAAGAGTCAAGCCGCAGCCACAGTACGCACAGCACCGCACTGGGCACCTACAATAGTCCTCCGTACTAATTGAGAGCCCGCCAAATCCAGCAGGTGCTAGATGGTAGGTAGGTAGGTAACTAGGTACTGACTGCTCTTTCTGCCTGCGCGGTGTGGTTTACGACTTAAGCACCTATTGCGCTGTACAGTACTATTGTCACTGCCTAACGTGCAGCGCGGGGAGGGGTGTGTGTGTGTGGCGGGTGGATGTATCCGAGTCGAGATTCGATGTATCACACCGACAAGTAACTCATGAGGTGAGGTAAGGTAAGGTACTCCGTAGGTTTTACTTAATTCGTATGCTATGTACGGAGTAATGTGTGTACAGCTATGACCTGTACTGGGAAAGAGGCTCGTAGCTTGATGAAGCTCCCGCCTCGTCATCGGGATCGTGATTGTTTCAATGCGTCTCTGCCCTCGGTGGGTTATTGAGGAGGGGAGGTGACATGAGTTGCATTCTTGCATCGCATCGCATCGCATCGCTTCGGCCAGATGTTGACGTGACGTGACGTGACGTGGGCGCTCAGTGTCGGGCGGTGGACATCTACTTCTACTTCGGTACTTGTATATGTGTGTGTGTGTGTGTATTGCCAGGTGTACACTCGCCAAGGCTGCGCTGGGCTGCTTGTCATGCCAGAAGTGAAATGCATCGGATGTACGTACTAGGTACATTGTTTGCCGCGAACAATCTTCGCGGCGTGTACTCCGTGCACACACCGAAGAGAAGGTGTCGGCCGAATACACTCTTAGTGAAACCACTGTATCAGGCTACATGCACGAACACGCCATCCACGCCCTAGCAGAAGGGAAAACAACAGCCCGTCAAGCCGAATTCGCGAAAGTACTATGCATCTATACCATGTATGTATCTTCAATGCTCTGCATCCACAGCCAATTGGATGCAAGCCGCTGCAAAGGGGTTTATGTACTAGCGTTTTCAGGGGTCACGGCTTCTGATGGAGACGTCCTCGCTTATAGTGTATTCTAAGCAGGGGAGCAAATCCTATCGAGCTGTCAAGCCTGTACCCTAGGTTATATGTACATACATGCGCACCCCTCTCTCCCGTCTAAATGTGACCCTGCCTGATCGAGTCAAAGCTGCAACAGAACAGGCATATCACAAAACCTTAGTAGTCGGATCCTGCCACCTCCTTGACGCCATTGACTTGTTCCTTCCCCTTGCGGCTGTACTTGTCCAGTGCGTCAAACACATGGCTGAACACTCGTCGGTTCACATCATGGGCCCATAGGAAGTCCAGATGCTCGTACTCCGGGATCTCCTTGGCCACGGTCCCGCTGGGTAGCTCGGATAGCATGACGTTGATGTCGACCAGGCTGTCACTTCCGCCGTACAGCAGGACGATAGGGGTTTTGATGTTTTTGGTCGGGTACTTGGCCGGCTTGTAGAAACGCTCGCTGGCCACAATACTCAGCGGAGCGTGGATCTCATCGTCGTAGAACTGGAAGTTCCGGTGTCGGATGATCTGAAACCAGTGCACCACCGACTTGGTGCTTGTAAAAGAGAACAGGTGCAGGTACCCCGCGAGCTTCTGCCAGCGACTGATATTCTTGCATCTCCAGTTGAAGAGGCCGCGGAGTGACGTGTCAATGATCCAAACGAAAATCGGGGGGTAAAGAATGGTCTGCCACATAGTAGTGGAGCTGAGGATGCTGCGTCTGCCGAACAGGAGGAACAGGAAGTTAGGCGAGGCCTTCATCAACGAGTCTACTACGTGGTTCGGCAGACCTGTTGGGGCCATCGCGGGCGCGAGAGCCACGAAGACATCAATCTTCTGATTCAGGAGCGGATGGATGGAGAGAGTCGCGAAGGCCTGCGCCGTGCCTTGCGAGAAACCAACATATGACAAGGAGGGCTGCTCCGTCACGTCAAGAATGTATCGGATGCTGTCGGGGATATCATGAAAGGAGAATTGGTCGATGGAGAAGTCCCAGAACTCGTTCGTCAACGGAGAGTGCTTGATGGACTTCTTGGAGTACTTGTTGCCGCGATTATTCCCAAGCCACACATCGTAGCCGCGCTCTACCAGTTGAAAAGGCAGGCATCGCTGTTCCTCGGACAGGCAGACCCAAACCTCACTGCACATCATCAGCCCATGGTGAAGGTAGACAACCTTCTTCTTGATGCTTCCTTCACCCTGGTTGATCCGTTTCCCTTCCTCGCCCTTGCGAGAGGAGAGGCGGTGGAGGCCGAGCAAGTAGCCGTCTCCAGTCTGAACGATGTGCTCCTCCGCCTGGTATCCAAACAAAGCGCAAATGTCCGTGAAATCGGACGCCTGCGCCACGGCCGCAGCGACCTTCTCTTCATTCTCACGCTCATCGAACTCCTCCCCGGGAGGAATCAGGAGGTTGAAGATTGTCTTCGAACGATCGTAGCAGAACCGAATGACAGGTTCAGCTGTATCCAGTCAGTGCCCGACCCTTGGCAAAACAACATCAATCCGGGTGTACTTACGCAGACAAAAAGTGATAATATGTATGACCCATTCCAGCAACACCAAGATCAGCGACCCAAACAGCGCCAAATACTCAAACCAGAACAGCCTCCCAATAACCGGTACACGCGCCATGATTGCAGCCCAAGTTTCACCGCACTATAGGGCAAATGAACAGAAGATAGAAAGAGAGGCTCAATGAGTTGGAGGATTATCGTAGCTCATAGCGCGTCGAATTAAGAGTCTCATCGTTGAGTGAAGGCAGCAAGGCAAGGATACAACCCGCCTTCTAAAAAAAGGGGAGTTTCAATCACAGGGTCCGTTCATCTTCCCAGACGTCATGCTGGAGGGGGTGGCAGGCGGCCGCTTCTTCATGTGATGCTTACCTAATCCGGGGGAGACGAGGGCACTCCGAGCCGTCGAGTTTGCCGGCCGCAGATGATCATCAGATTGCTGCCCGTTCTTTGGTTGCCGTGACTGAATACCTTCTTGTTCGAGCAGTCGGGCAAACTCAATCCACGATGCCGGCTTCCTGTCAGGATATCAGTGAGTCATTCTCTCCTCAGTCTGTTCCCTCAATTCCTCTCGCGGCGGCAGTTAGTAGCGACTTGCGCGCGATCCAGCATTCGTGGTCGGAGACAGAGGACAACCTCGAGATAGCCCTCATACCATCGTCACCCACTCTTCTGACCGACCTTACTCTCACGGAAACAGGGAACGCACTGGCGCAATGCCTCCAGGAATCCGACTGCATCATGGTCCAGCGACACAGCCCGCGGGAGTGTCTCAGTGACCCTCACGTCGACCAGCTTCCGATGCGATGCCAGCAGCTGCGGAAGGGCTTCAGCGAGTGCAAGTGAGTAAACTCCCAACCCACCGAGGATCGTTTCCACCCAACCATTTCCTTAAATTTGGCCTACACAAGCTAACACCCAATCTCCCTTCCGCAACGCAAAAACAGACGCGGCTTGATCGACATGCGCAAACGATTCCGCGGGAACCAGCCCATCTCGGTATCGACGGAACTCGAGGGCGGAAGCTCCAACAAGTCCCAGCAGTTGTATGCTGGCAAGCCGGCGTTCGAGTCGGTCAAGGAGATCAGTGGTGATGAGGTGAAGATGGATCCCGAGAAGACGAGAGGTCTGTGATCGCCGGGGGGGGGGGGGGGGGAAAGAAATGATTGGTGTTACCCAAGGGGACGCGGGCAAGTTAGTTGTCATCAAGAACAACCCCCCTCCAGCTTGGCACTCGTAACGATTTTTCTGCGTTATACCATTCCCCAGTCCCCTCGGGACTCAATTGCTCTGCTCTATCTTTTTTTTGCTCTTTGTTTCTGTTTCATCTGCACTGGCATGGTTTTGGAGTTGATTGGAAGAATATCTGGGACTGTGCTTTCCCTCCTCTCATGTGATTAATCTATGACTACGTTCTGGGATTATTGTACTGTACATACTTTGAAAGAAGCTCTTGCGAATATTCTCTACAACCATACTCGTAGGCGTGAGGAAAGTACAACGGACACGTGGGCGAACGGAAATATTGTGACAGACATAATGTACGAAAACTGTCATTGACTGGACATCTAGATAAATTACAATCACTGGTTCTTCTTGACCTGAGCCGAGGCCGGCTCCGAGTAGAGCCACACGGCCACGAAAGCCATGAAGCCACCGATGACAGACCACAGTCCAGCGATCCAGACCCAGCCGCCGCTGATCTTCCAGCTGCGCGGGAATTCGTTGTGGGCGAAGTGACGCACCGTCACCTCGTGCTTCTCCTCGATGGTGGTGAGGAACGGACGCTTGTAGTTCACGCGGAACGAGAAGATACCGTGCTGGTCGGGGACGGTGAACTGAGTGCGGAAGACGGTGCTGTTCTCGGTGCGGTAGGCAGGCTCCAGCTTCAGGCGGTGGAAGGGAGAGAGCATGGTGAACTCGAGCTGGAGGGCGTCTTCGGCGGGCAGTTCGAAGGGCACGAACTTGTCGTAGCTGTACTCGGAGATTTCGATGCTGAAGACCTGTTGTTGTGTTAGTCTAGGATTTTGTCTGCCCGGAGTCAACATAACCTACAGTCTCATTCTTGACCCGGTAAATGGTGGGGTTCAAGTCCTCGGCGGTGATATCATCCTGGGCGAGATGGTGCTCAATTTTTCCGACCTTGAGCACTCCAGTCTCCTTGAAGGTCCAGGCAGTCAATTGCTTGGCAAATTCCTGGTTGACCGTCTTGGTCTCCTCGCCGCTGCCGGGTGCCTTGACGGTGGCGGTGAACCACTTGTCCTGGAGACTCTCCACGGAGCCCAGCAGGGCGAAGCGAGAGGAGCTGCGGGTCTGCAGGGTCGAGATGAGAGAGAGCTGGGAACCGGTGGCCCAAATGTCCTCAACAGCAGCGACTTCCTCCTTGGGGTTGTAGCTGTAGGCGGTGACGGGGGCACGCAGAATAGGCGCAGCAAGAATGTTGTCGCCGAGAGTGTGAGGAGCAGCTCTGGGGAGCGCCAGGACGCCCTCACCATCGAAGTAGGACTTGGTGTCGGGTCTCAACTGGCCGGGGCGCTGCAGAAGCAGAACGTCGTGCTTCTCGGCGGCGGAGAGGGTATCATAGTTGAAGTGGTCGACGACAATCGAGGAGCGGTCCGTCGACAGGTGAAGATCGAGCTCCAGAAGAAGCGAACTGATGGCGCTAGGAGTGGTGGACTTGCCGGAGAGAGCGAGGAGGACGTTTCCGTCCTTGTTCAGGAAGTCGACAATGTTCTTGGGGCTAAGAGAAGGTCCGAATCCTAGAGCAGCAGGTCAATCGGATGCTCAATTGCAACTATGGTAGATAGCTAAAGCCAGTGTCTCACCTTTCGACTTGGGAGGAAGAAGGAGGAGGTGGTCGTAAGCTCTCTCGCCAAGCTCGAACAGCGAGAGTTGGTCACTCTTGGGAGATTCGAAGGCGATGTCATATCCACGAGCTTGAATTCGGCATTATCAGTATCAATTGCTTCATACACACCAGATAGAAGATGCGTACCCTTCAGATCACTCCAGAGTGTGGAATAGAGACCCTTCTCGGAGGCATCCTCCAAGACAACCAAGAGACGGTTGCCGGAACTACTGAGCGCATTCACCACGGCCAGGAAGCCGAAGAGGAAGAAGGAAAGACACCACCGCATTATGCGACGGGTAGTTTATGGGAGAGAGGAGGGGAAAGAAGAGCCAGCTCCTGGCGCAAAAGAAAGAGGTGGGGAAGATGTCAAGGAGAAAAAAAAGTCCAATGCAGTTTCAACCCATCAATTATCGTGATACGTAGTAAGTTAGTAGTACGTCGAGCTGACTGGAGCACGAACGGGCGACGTGTTTGGACCGAGTGCCAAGACTCTGTCTTCTCCATTGGAAACCGCCGCATCCACTTTCGGCTTGTCGTCACTTTCGACCTCTCCTCATCGTTCGTTCCACCGCCCGTCGTTTCCCCCTCTCGCATTTCCCCGATTACGACCTCTCCTCCCCTCCCCGCTAGAGTCTGGAAGATCTCGCCGCCGGTCTTTCTACGATCTCCCATATCAAGTTGAACCTATACAAGAACACCGGTCACTTTCCTTCCGAACCTTCCGCCTGACATCAAACGCCCGTCGGCTTCCAGCACCAAGAAGAAAAAAAAACCCTTTTTCCGATCCCACACCCGAGCTATCCCATCCAACATCGCAATCATGTCCGCTCCTCAATTCTGGTCGACTCCCTTCCGCTACATGCGCTGGGCCTCGCACGAGAAGCCCGCCATCTTCTACTCCCTCATCATCGGCTCCCTGGGCCCGGTCGCATTGGTGACCATCCCCCCGATCCGCCGCTACTTCGGCTCCTACGACCCCGAGCCTGTCCCCTTGACATATCCTAGTAAGGACGATCCAGCCAGCAGCAGATTCCGTGACATGCGGGATTATGAAAGCTTCTAGTTTCCGTTGCTAACTTCGCTCTCTCTCTCTCTCTCTCTTTCTCAAACAGTCCCCGCCGGTCCCCGCGTCATCCCGCAGGGTTACGATGACGAGTAAATTTCCCCCATATAACACACACAAGATACAACAGCAATGCAATACCGTTCCGATTTTTTTGTTTCTTCTTTCAATTCTCAGAGGGTTCTGAGTCTGGGGTTTGTCGTCATTATAAGCTAGGTTTAGGTCTCGAGCAAGCAAGCGATTCGAGAGGGGGGTGTGAGGGTGCCATCGGAGATATCGACAACGTGAACGCACAAATTCGAGGCTCTGGGGGGCAAGCTGAGGCGGCAAGCTGGCTGAGAGGCAGTGGAGTCAAATCACGGGATCTCGGGTCTGGCGAGCGGAGCTTCCTCGATCCTGATATCAGCATCCATTCCCGCCTCGTTGATTGGCGTGCCGCCCATGGCTTGCTAGACTCGGTGGGCGTGAGCGTTACAATGTACTGTACATGAGAAGATGTATCACTGAGCAGAGAGATTGAGGAATGTCTTGTTCAAGCAAAGCTTTTTGATTCTTTTATTGTACAGGATTTTATCCGCCGATTCACGGCTAATTATTCAGAGATAAGCACCGACTTAGACTCCCGACCGCAGAGTGTGTCATTAGGACTCTTCAAGCATGTCTCTTCACAGTTCTGGTCCTGAAAAAGAAGGACCTGACCCTGATGTAGTGACTCGCTCAGAGATTCCAGATATGACTGCTAATTAGGTCAGATGTCAAGAAGATGATTTGTACGACGCCAAAGAAAAGGTAGTAGCACGTAGTAAGGGCAGATTGATGTCAGGGTCAGTATGGGAAAGAACGAGAAGCAAGACCGATGTCGAGTTTTTTTTAACACATTGACTGAGCCAAGCACCATGTCAGTAGAAGTACAGAATTGTCCACGGAGGAAGGCACTGGGTCACCGATATCCAAATTAACCAGCATTGTCATAGTGAGAGGAAAGCAAGCAGAAAGCAAAGCGTGGAAGATGGGATTTTCAAGGCTAGAATAACCGAGATGGACCTTGCACATTGGGCACACTGATAAGTTGGCGGAAAGGCAATGGCGATGACGAGGTATCGAGATGAAGTGCGAGCCAAGCTGTCCATGTTGGTGTAGCAGACGCTTGAGAGAATGTAAGCTAATAGCACAAACGCCGGATAAACGCCGGATGGCAATGCTCATTCATCATCATCCTCATCATCATCATCATCATCATCCCAGGGGACATCCTCATTGTCAATCTCGGCACAAGTCAAGTAGCGAACACTCGAATCGCTGACATTGGACTCCAAGAGCGGCTCCAGCTTGTCCACACAAAGCTCCCTGAGGCAGAGCAAACCTGCATTAACCTCGTCCGCATCCTCCTTGGGGCAATCGTCTTCGTCAAGATAGGGGGCCCATTGATTGTCATATTCGTCATTGTCGTCATCCTCCTCTTCGCACAAGTAGCGATAGAGAATGAAGCCTCCCTCTGCGCCACGGAAGCCGTTTCCCTCACTGATATTCCTGTACACCCATTCTCGGAACCGAGTAAGTGCCACCCACATATGCGGGCTCAAGCCCAGCAAGTCAGACGGGCCTGGATCCTCCGAGGGGGCAAACTCGATGTTCATCATGTAATCCTCGACATCTTGACAGCGTTGGACGAGCTTGTCACTATGGCTCTGGCAGACGCGGCGGGCGGCCTCGGGGATCGACATTTTCACCTCATGTTCCAAATTGTGCCATTTGCCGACCACATGGCAGGCTGCGTCCTTGAAGATCCAGGAATCACGAAGAGTCATGGAGATGCACAGCCACTGGACGGGGTCCTCGGCCACCGCCTCCCCCAGACCGTCTCCCATGCCCACAAAAGCCTCGTCCAGAGCCGAGAACACAGCCTCAGTGGCTTCGAGCTCCTCGCCCAGGGTCATGAGGGCCTTCGTGTGGTGGAGTATATCGTCAGGCTCCTCGCCCTGATCTGCGCGAACTGCCAGTCGTTGCGAAGCGGGGTATTCAGGCTTCAAGTAAGGCACCTGATCATACAAGCTCTTGACCATGTTGGCCCAGATCTTGCGGAGCTTTGGAGACAGGAGGTCGGCAGGCTGTGGACGCTGCGGTACCCCGGCGACGGCCTGGAAACCCGTCAGCGAGCATGAACTATCCCATGTCATATCAAATCTGTAAAAGAATTACCTCGATTTCCAGCCGGCCATACTTCCGGCCAGCTGCAGGAACCACGACAAGGTCTATTTCAATGAGAACCGGGTCGGTGCACGGATCAGCATTCTCTCGTGCTTGCTCTATTGCCCTCTTGATAGTACCGGAGCGACTGGCGACTGCATGAGAGTGGAGTCTGTACACATCAGGCGGTACAGATATCTTGATGTCTCCGTTGAATGGCTGAAACACCGACTCACACATCTTGCAAAGACGCTTGCAGAATAGATAGTGGCTCCGTGAAATGCAAAGCCTGAATTTGTCTGACTTGGTTAGAGGTTCCGTATAGTAACGCACAGTTCGAATCTATCTCGGTTGAGGGGAGGTGAGGCCATGAAAGAACACAGAGCTGGGAATTCAGGGAGGTGAAAACAGGATCACAGCTGAGGAACGACATCTTGAGTCTTTTGCTTAGTCGGCGACATCAAGAACCGCAGTGAATGCACCGGTGAAGTTCCTGAATTCCTGATAGCACGACATCATCAGTCTTTTGCTTAGTCGGCGAGCTGTTCAGCTTAGTCGGAGAAATCAAGAACCGCGGTTAGAGATTGAGAAACCGCTGTTGGAGGTCAAAGAATGTGGAGTTCCTGATAGCACGCACAGCTGACAGGTCTTGGTTTCTTTCAAAGGATGTGTAGGTCTTCTATGAGACCTAGTCTTAGAGCAGATTTACAGCCGTCACTCCCAGAGGTTGGGGCAATTGCTGATGTTCATCACGCGAAATACCTAGGGCAGGTGCACACGACGAAACAATAGCCGCGATTGTTGGGCAGATTGCGGGAAAAGGAGACAGAAGAGATAGAATTGAGAATAACATAATTTCACAGAGCTCAGAAGAATATAGATTGATTATCAAACAAAACTGGAACCATCACTGTCGGAACCAGGGAACAACTATTGAGAAACCAGAGATTAACGCCGTGTATGCTCATATCTACATATAGCTCGTGGACAGCATCACCGTATATCATCGAAGATCCTAGCCGATACTGTGGAAAATCAGTCGGTGCGCCTCGCCGAACTCAAGAAATCGTAAAAACTAATCCCTGCAGTCCCTGAAAACAGAAAGGACGAAAGCAACAGAAATCAAGGTGCCACAGCCTATTCACCAGAAAAAGCACCCACACGACGCAAGAAGAATAACCCAGCACAGAAAGGAGATTCAAGACAGCCAGCGCCGGCATTGCAGACAATAATAAGCCATAAAGCCTCCTCATAAACGAGCACGATGAAGTTCGGGCCAATCTTCAGGTCCCAATTACCGCGTCCCCGCATGTGCATTGGAAGCAGATCAGCTGCAACACGAGCCAACATCAGCGATAAGGTTGAGCACGCTTCAGAAGTCGATAAAATAAATATATGAGTGGTATCCAGGTCGAACAGTATCCAGTACTCCAAATGTCTGGCTCCGCAATTCGGATTCCCAAAGTCATGCACGCTTTTTTTTTCCTGGTCTGATGTTCCAGTAAGGCTAAGAAATGTAAGAGGATTGTTCCTCAGACTGCTCCACTATCGGAACGTAAATCTGGAAATGCCTGCAGTTTCCAGGACGATGAGGCCGTCATTATAACACAATGAGAATTGTGATCCTCGCCTAAGCTCACTAGCATGGAAGGGAGTTAATGCGTCACCGGGTTCGGCGAGGAGCTTGGCTTTCTCTTGTCGGCTGGGGCCTATTGCGGTCTGGATACGTCGACTCAGGAGTGTATCTGGGATCCATTCCAATCCTCGGGTCCGCGGCTGTAGTGGGAGGGTATGCTATTCCGGAAGTTACCGGGGAATAGTCCTGATCGGCCTCATACGTTGCCGGCCCAGGGTAGCGTGGAGCATTGTTTCTCCCATTTTCATAGCCATATCCAGTGCCGTATGTGTATGAAGGGTGAATGTCGGCAGAAACCGCAGGTTGACTGGGAGCAGAGTATGGGATTTGCGCGGGAGGGTAGGGGGCCTGGCCCGTTGCAAAAGGTGAATGGTTTGCAGGGTAGGATGATGGAGTAGGGTACGGGGGGCTCTGAGTCGCCGCGTACGGGGGCTGAACATATGGGTCCACAAACTGTTGAGGTGCCGGAGGGGGTGCAGTGTAGGCTGGTGGGGGTGAGGGGCCTCCTTGTTGACGTCCTTCATGGATGGTCGTGGCTGGATAGGTTGCGGGAGAGATGTTAGGCGCCTGGGAATAACTGTAGTCGTGAGCGTAGCTACCTCTGGGATTGCCTTGGTCCATTCGGCGTGAAACGTCTGCCTCCCACCGAGCAGAGTCGGCTTTGAGATCAGCAATCATTTCCTGCATGAATAATCAGTTGAATTGTACGTTGTGGATGATGACGGCTACGATGCGCTTGTGCGAGAACATACAGAGGTGAGATTGCGGTAGGCTCGAATGAAGTAGCCTTGGCGACCCTGCTCATGTGTGTCAGTCTTGTGTCCTCAAGAGGTAGCTTCTGCCATCAGTCGTGCCATGGCATGGTGAAAAGAACAGGAAGAACATTGGGGAACAAACATTGTGGTTTCCAGGTCTTACGAGAGCATCATTCCCGAGGTAACGGCAAATATCTGCTTGGATAACTTCCCGACTGATACCATCACCGGGAATGAAATATTCGTTCTGACGCTCCGGGCGTCCTTCAAATCCATGACGGCCAGTCATTTTTTCCAGGGATAAACGGTTTCCAGTTATTAAATTATAGTCAACGGGTCCAAGTGGCCAAAGGAGATCCAGGAGAGTAAGGAATAGCCGACGGGTCCAGAGGAAGATGACGGTAGGTAGATGGTCTCTTGGGTTGCTTGGGAACAAGAAACGGAACGAAGTGCAGTTCTAAAAGGCTGTGTCCAGGAGATCCGAGGCTGAGAACTAAAGGCTAATCCGATTCTTGGTTGACACAAGCACAAATGCAGAACACGAGACGAAGTTGAGCTCCCACGGTGGTATATCTGGCTTTATTTCCGGCGTGAAGAAAAGAAACAAATCCGGAATGGGCGCTTGGTGTATGTATCCAGGGGGTGGGTTGTGAAGAACGATTTGAAACGCTTCAGATCACTTTGTGCATTAAAAGTGAACCAGAAATGGAAGAGACAGTCAAGTTATAGGCAAAGGTCCGAACGAGGCAGATGTGTGGATCGGAGAGAAGCTGTTGATTGATCACGGTCCGAGGTTGTCAAGTCACTGGCACGAGAATGAGAGAAAGGTTGCAAAGATCTTTCTCTTTTCAAATTCCTGCGGGAGGAAGTGGCTTTCTTCTTCTTTCTGAAGTCTCTCCAGACACACCTTATACAAACTCGTAGAACCTTTGAGCTGACGGGGGTAATGTCAGGAAACAAAGGTGAGAGGATGGTGGTGGTGGTGGTGGTGGTGGAGGGGAAGGGGGTAAGGAGGTTAGGGGAAGGGAAGATAGGAGAGGGAAGAGAGGAGAAAAAGAAGAGCTAAAGGGAAGGAAAGGGAAAGGAAAAGTAAGACAGACGGGGTGGGGAGAAGATAAGAGAGAAGAAACCTTCCAGTTTTCCAGTTGAGAGGCGAAAAGGGAAAAGGAAGAGAGGAGAGAGGAGAGAGGAGAAAATGAGAAAAGCGAAAGAGGAGGGGGAGGAGCTTTACAGACTAGGCTACGGAGTAGGTTAGAGGGAAAGAGGGAGGGAGGGACGGGAGGGGGCGCAGACACACACACACAGAGAGAGAGAGACTCTGACCGGAGAGAAGAAGAGCAACTGGAATAGACAGGAGGGAAGAAGAGGGCGCTGTGAGTGGATTGGATTGGGTTGTTGGGCCGGCTTTTGGGCTGCCTGGCCATTGTCTGGTGCCACGACTGACTCCACCAACTAGACCCTCCATCCTCTCTTCTTCTTAAGTTCTTTCTTCAAGGTTCTTTTTTGCCTTTTTGCACCCATCCTTCCCCAGTACGGAGTAGAAGAGGAGAGGTAATGGGTTTTTTTTTTCTTTTTACATTAATCCGAGATGACTCTGCTTTCCCACCCCGACCCCCCTTCCACTTCCTCCTCCCCTAGAAACTCTCATTGACTCTTAGGGCGTCAGCGCCTCACATCCTGGGGCGGTGGTTGGATATCGGGTGCAGACGATTTTCCTGCCACTACCCGTGCGGCTTGCTGTTGAATGATTATAATTCGATGACTATGACGATCCTCATCCGAACTGGAACCCTCTTGGGAGGGCCAACTGACCAAAGGCCGTGACTATTAATCTCTTCTGATTTCTTCTTTGCTGTTGCCTCGATTCATTACTTGCTTTCACGGTCAACCAAGAGCTAAAGAGTGGTAGTTAGTCGTTGCATCACAGCCAGTCCCGTCAATAGCATCCATAGTACATGCACCCATCTTTATTGTACCTGATTGTCCCTGATCAGTGTGCTTCGAGCCATGGTTCACCCGCGGAGCTGTCCTCTCCTGGTGGACCGGTGGAAAACTCCCGATGGGGAAGATTAGATGACCCAAGAAAAAGTCCCCATCAGTGGCGTTGTCAGATCAAGCATCAGACTGGGCATGGATTCATGGTACCAAAGTGATGCTGATCTGGTTGTCCACTCGATCGTCATTTTGATCCCAGGTCGAATGTTGATTATTTGGGACATGACTTAGTGCTCTGCTCGACCTGAAAATACCTAAGAAGGCTTCATCCACCAGAACAGATGACGCGAGTGGATCCGATGAGTCAGCAACGACGTCCGCCGAGACGATCAACCAACCCAACATCAACCAATCAAGCAGAGATGCAGCATCGCAGAGAGCACCCCCTGGCACAGGATACCTAACCAACTATGTACTCATACTTCGAGTGGCCAAAGAACCGCCCAGTCAAAACTATTTGTTGCCAGCTGCTAGTGCTTGCCAGATGATCAAGTAATGTACTGCACTTCTGCTCCATCTTTGGAAATGCCTGTTACACAAAAAAGCTGCATCTTTCATCATCGCACAATTTGCAAGGAAAGAATATGGCCCTTCATTCTATAAGTCATAACTTGCATACTTGGTCTCTGGGTACGAGCATCAGTATAGGGCAAAGCTCGCCACAAAAACACTTATCAGGGCAACAAAAGTAAAGGATCATCCGCATCTAACCGGGGTTTTATTGACTGGCATCGATCCCTTCCGATATTACTAGTTCAATGAAGTATTGGTACTCCATATCCCGAAGTCTTCATGCTCTTAGTTAGAGGTTTCCTTCTTGTCAGTAGGAGACGCGATGTTTCTCCAAACGAGATTGGCCACACTCTCCAGCGTGTCGCCGGTCAGGGTTTGGGATATGAACACAGGTTGGGCAGGAATGCGTGAGTGGCGGCTTGGGCACTCACCCACTCACCCACTCACCCACTCGCCCACTCGCCCATCCGCCCGTTTATGGCCTGGGGCACTAATCCCGTCTGCAACTCTGCAGCCTATCCCGACGCCAGATTAGCCTCGGATTCCCCATTTGGCGCATTCCGTGAGCGACGGACTGGCCTCGCTAAAGTGGCTAAAGTGACTAAACTTCTGCTCGGGCCGTTAGTCGGGGCTCAATGTGCCTGTGGAACTGTGACAGTGGGTTGCACTGCAGCCCTCTTCTCAAGACGTAGATGCTGAGCATCCAACATTCAAGACAGTGATGGGCCTACCAACGTCGCAAGGCAAATCAAATCAACTCGACAGGCCATGAAAGTATGAGTACAGACACACCCAAAACCCAAAGTCAAGTTAATTCCCTTTTCTAGAAAGTCTCGAATAATCCAGCGTCGTCGTCTCCATGTTTTGCGGCCTTGATGCAGCGAATTAATTCCCAGGAACACAATCGCCAGCGCCCACACTCGGCCTGCTGCATAATCACAATCTCAATTTCACCCAACTGACCAAGCTGACCGACCTGGTGGTCGTGAAGCCCAGTTCTGCTACAAGAGTGACCGACCATGTTCGTCACCTTCACAATATTCTTATGGGGTTCCACTTTGCTTCGCGCGGCTCTCACCCTCCTTCCTCAGCCGTGGCGGACAAAGCCCAACAGCGTCTGAGCTCAAAGATCACGTTCACTATGTTGCTCATAGATTAATGTGCAAGGCCTCACATGCATCTCCACAGAAGCTGTTCCGTCATCTGCACGGCGGTGAGATCTCCAATTTCTGGACCCATTAACATTCATATGCTCGAATGAAATTCTACCAGGTGTCCTCTCTGCCGCATTGTCTCCATAACGCCTGCGTCAACCGTCTCATTTTGACCGGTGACTGACTGATCATGATCTGATGGTTTCCTCTCTTCGGAAAATGTTATGCAATATTCTTCCCGAATTAGAGGCTGTCTCGCTCCACCAGAGTCTATACTGATGCTTGCTATTAGTTCGACTCGGAGCGTGCCATTGTATGATTGCATTCTTCGTCTGCAACCTAGCCCGGGCAGGATTCTTGAATCAGAAGCCGTTCAAAGATCTTGCAGCTACAGCAGTGCATCGTCGGCCGAACGGCTGCACCTTCATATAGGGGTGAAGCACCACTGCCTATTGTACCGCACTCTGCTGCGGCCACGAAGCGATATCCATACAATGGTAGTCGGTGAAGCCGCATATCCTCCGATTCCTAGCCTTACATTATGAGTTCACTGAACATTCAGCATGCATACCCTCCGCAACTCGGCATGACATGATATCATGGCTTTTTAACTGACCTGTGGTTGTGATGTACTGTACATACAGTCAACTCTATTCCATATATCCGCTGGCATCGGTTAACTTTTGACATTGCTGTTGCCTCGGCTTGCATCAGAAGTCAGGATGCCTGTTACCTCAAGTCAATGACTCGAACTATACGGAACAATCTGATCACGTTTCCACGCCAAATAGAACCCGAATTGGCACCAAGTAATGGATATTGCCTCGAGAATTTACCTACCCAACGCAGGTTTGGGCTCTCACCGAACAATGTCCGCTATATGTATACTGTAGACTCTGAATTTCGAAGGCAAGTCAGCAACCAATATCTGGATCTGGGATACTTCGACTCTTCTGGACTTGACGATATGATCAGTGTGTGCGTCGAGCATCTGATTCCATACTTAGTACTGCTGGCGAGGCATCCACAAGTTTAAACCTTAAGACTACGGCGGCGGGCTCTATGCTGGCGCTAACCTCTTTGGGAAGCGAGATCTTCTGGCCCGGCCCCGGGTTCTCGAACTTCCCCTCCAACGCACTTCAATCACTAACCAGCCTGGATATCCAGGTCCCAGGACGCGCGCGTGTATCTTCATGGATCATCTATAGAGCTCTGACTCGACGCAGTACGTTTCACTTTGGATTTTCTGGCCTACAGTCATCGCCCCTCAATCCGCCATGATACTGTTCTATTCGCTATGTCACCCTCTTCCCCGGAACCGACTTTTTCGTCCAGCGATCCCTTGAGACCCGAGTCTCAGTTCACCTATCGCCAACTCCAGCTTCTTAGGCAAGGCTCGACGGCGACGCCTCTTCGCGTGATCGCGCACGTGGATCTCGATGCCTTTTACGCCCAATGCGAGATGGTGCGGCTAGGCACGCCGCGCGACGTGCCCCTCGCCGTACAACAATGGGACTCGCTCATCGCCATAAACTATCCCGCCCGATCCTTCGGGATCACGAGAATGATCTCCGCTGGGGAAGCCAAGAAGCTCTGCCCCGACATTGTCCTGCAGCATGTTGCAACCTTTCGAGAGGGCGAGGGCGGGAAATGGGCTTACCGCGACGACGCTTTCACGCGGGTGGGCACGGATAAGGTGTGCTTGGATCCATACCGGGCGGAGTCACGCAAGATCCTCAAGGTGATGAAGGAGGAACTATCCCGCTGGCATGCGAAGATATCCGGCGAGGGACTCGCGGGCGCGTCCATACCGCAACCTGGTCTTGAGAAAGCCAGCGTTGACGAAGTGTTCATGGACTTGTCGCCGATTGTGTATGGGATCTTGCTGGAGCGGTACCCTGAACTGCGCGCCGGGTCACATATCGATGATCGGGTTGCGCGGCTGCCCACCCCGCCGACGACTGCATTGGCGTGGAGCGCGGAAGATTGCTTGGTCGATCTGGACGAGAACGAGACGGAGGTGGATGACCCGGACTGGGACGACATTGCCACTTTGATCGGCTCGGAGGTTGTGCGTGCGGTTCGCAAAGCTGTTTGGGACAGTCTTGGCTATACCTGCTCCGGGGGAATTGCGAGGAACAAGATGATGGCGAAGCTTGGAAGCGCCTGCAACAAGCCCAATAAGCAGACGATAATCCGCAATCGTGCGGTACAGAACTTCCTGGGAGGGTTCAAGTTCACGAAAATCCGGATGCTCGGGGGCAAACTCGGGGATCAGGTCACTGCCATGTTTGGAACAGAGCAGGTGAGTGATCTGTTGAAGATCCCGCTGGAACAACTCCGAGCCAAGCTGGATGATGATACCGCCACATGGCTGTACGGTATCATCCGAGGCGACGATCGAAGTGAAGTCAACTCTCGAACGCAGATCAAGTCCATGCTCTCGGCTAAATCGTTCCGACCGAGCATCAACAATCTCGATCAAGCGGAGAAGTGGCTGCGCATTTTCGCAGCTGATATCTATGGTCGTCTCGTCGAGGATGGCGTGCTGGAACACAAGCGTCGCCCGAAAACAGTGGCTTTGCATCATAGGCAAGGCGCCCAGGTCCGCTCACGACAGATCCCAATTCCAGGATCATCGCCAATTGATGAGGACCTGCTCTTCAGCCTTGGCTTGACGCTTTTCCGACAAGTCATTGTCGACGGGCGCGCATGGCCCTGTGCAAACCTTTCTCTGAGCGTTGGTGGGTTCGAGGACGGGGTATCCAAAAACAAGGCAATCGACTCCTTTCTCCTTCGAGGGGAGCAAGCGAAGTCTGCACAGAATACTCGGTCCTTGTCGAATGACGATCTGATGGATGCTCAACAACCGAACGAGAAGCGTCTCAAGACCGAACCCGACGGTATTCGACGGTTCTTCGCTAAGCCCTTGGGGGGTGACGCGTCGCCTCCAGCCACTGAAACAAGCCTAGCTGAGACATTACAAAGTTCAGAGGTTGAACAAGCTGCTAGGGACACTCCGCCAGATGATGATGCACGGAACTCCGCTGACGCTTTATCCTACTATTCCTGCAGTCGATGCGGCAAGTCGGTTCCTGAGCATGAGAGAGCTGAGCATGACGACTGGCACTTTGCGAAAGACTTGGTAGACCAAGAGAACCAGGCCACACGAAGCTCCCCGCAGACTCAAGCATCACCACCCAACCTTGGAGCATCTCACTCACGTAGCCGGGCTGGTCGTAATGGTCGTGGTAAGCCCGAAAGGGGACAGACCCGCTTGAATTTTGGGTAGATCGCTATATACTGGCTTGGCAATGTCTTGAAAGCTTTCGAGGATATTGATTGGACTGTGGAGCTCATTAGCTGCGGTTTCATTCAAATGTTGGTGTTAAATGATACTTTGTGGCAGCATTTCCAGCCAACGCCACTTGACGGACGGTCGATATATAGACCGAGGACAGCCCATGGCCGGCTGTTAAACCATCTGCTCAGTCACTATCCATGGCAAGGGCAAACACGCTACAATGGCCCTAATAATGACATCGCATAGCCTTCGGGTCTTTTCGTTGCCCCTGGATCGCATTGTCAAGAGCGCGGCCATGGACATACTACAACACATGCAGCTCATCTCTTTGGTAGTCTATAGACTGAACAAGGAACTACATATTACAATCTATGCCTGATTTTGGTGATTCTGCCACTCACTGAACTAGTATTTAGTCAGTCACTTAGAGATCTTTGTCTTTCGAAGCCTACTTTTTCTACATGTCCTTTACAGCCTGTGGTGGTGTAAGTGTACAATCGAGGAGACCACCCGTCATTATATAAACTTCCGGTTCCAGGCGGGAGCGTCAACCATGGTCCACAATGAGCCCACTTTATATCTTTGACGCAAAACATCCACCATTCCAACCAAACGATCTTGATACCAAGAGCAACGAATGTATTGTGTACTTATACCACTACACCACTCCAGCATCACACTCAAGTCGCATGAACCTGGCCACGGGTGCGAGCGAGCCCATGGGCCCGACAAGGCAGCCCACTGCAGCATGACATCAGCCGATCACAGCCGCGGGGTCATTTGCTTTTTTGGCTAACAATCCAACTGATGTGATGTGACGGGTGTGCAACAGTACTGTTCCAGCTACAACAACACTACCTCCAATCTCTTCATCATCATCAGCATCATTACCATCCTCTCTTTTTCCCAACTGACAAAAATGGTCTATTCGTCATAACCCCACCAGCGAACTCTCCCTCGCTGCTGAAGTCTTAAATCAGTCTCAAATACGAGTCATCATCGCTTCCCTCCTCCACCCATACAGAGACCCCGCACAGCCCAACCCAACAAAGAACCCCTCCGGCCAGAAGAGTCACAGTCACAGCCACAGCCACAACTACTCCTCAATCGCTTCCACCAACGTATAATCCTCACCCACACCATTCTCACCACAATATAATCGCATCCACTAATGAAGCCAAACATAACCATCCGCCAACGACCAGACACACCCACCAGCTCGTCCCCGTCACCATCTCCCTCTCACACGCCGTGTAGATAATTCTCCTTCGACCTAATTCAATCAACGCTGCCAGGCTAGCCAAACTTCTCCTAAACGAGTCTCACCTACCCCTAAGAACAAAGAACACTTCCACAATGCCACGAAGATCTCGCGCCCATGACACCATCGAGGAAGATATCTACGGCCGCGAGCGCGATCCGTACTCCCGTCACAGCAGAGGGAGAGACCGACGCCGCCACTTCAAAGAAGAAGAGGAGGAACTCCGGTACGACCGACGAGTACCGCCGCCGCCTCCACCGCCTCCACCATCAGCACCGCCGATGCCCGTGCCGGTTGAGAAGTTTGAACGGATGCGGATACGGGATGAGAGAGCCCGGGGCCCGGAGATGATGATCCCTGTGGCCCCGGCGCCGCCGGTTGCGTCGCAGCTAGTGAGGGAGAGGGGGAGGGAGGAGCTCAAGGCCATGAAGCCTGTGCGTCGGCCGGTGCGAGAGGTTATTGAACCGAGAGAGAGGACGCGGGAGTTCGAGAGGGAGAGGGATCGGAGGGGGAGGCCGAGGTATCGCGGGGTTGATTTGGAGAAGGAGAGGTTTGTTCTGGAGGAAGAAGAGGAGGAGGAGGAAGAGGAAGAGGAAGAGAGTTCCTCATCGGAGTCGGAGAGTAGTAGTCTCGAGGAGAGTGATACGGAAGAGGAGGAAGAGGATATGGTTATTGTCGGGAGGCACGGGAGGCCGAAGCACGGCCACTTGTCACGAAGTGCAGAGCTAAAAGAGGCTCCGAGAGGGATTCTGCGCAACCCGAAACCAGAGCAGGACGAGTTGCTGCTGAAGCGGCATTATGAGCGCACTCGCAGCAGCGGTCCGGTGTATGCTACTGCTACGCGGACGCGACACAAGCACCGCCATCACCGACATAGAGATCTCGAAGATGCGGACGGTGAGCTCGACGAGGAAGTGGACAGAGAGGAGGTCTTCCGCCGGAAGTATAGGGAGCGCAGACGTGGTGGAGATGTGGTCGAGGAGGAAGAGGAGATCCGACGGTCTTCGTCGGAGATGGAAAGGTCTCGACTTCCGTCGCCAAAGAGATATCCTGCCTTCTCGGATAGGCATGTCTACGACGGTACTTTGCTCTGGCTTCCCTCTCTCCAACTTGGCTATTGGCGCTGACTTCGACTCAGATCACCAAAAGACTCATCGCCCTTGGCTCTGTAATTCAGACCTCCTTTACGAGTCTGAGACCCATCGTCGGTCTGTCCACGCGTCGTTCTTCATCATTGGAGTATGCAGCTAACGCTTGGGTAGGGAGAGGTCCAGAGGACGACTGGATAGGAATGAGATACCTATAATTCGACCCAAAAAAAGGGGCGGTCACCCTCCACCGCATCCAGACCCTTACCGACGTTCGAAAGACGCCCTTCCTCTCGTTGCCCCCGAAGCGAAGTTTGCTGAGCGCGAAAAAGAAGTGCTCACTGTAGTGCGCCGCGACGGCAGCCACGAGTCCCTCAAGGAAGAAGAATTCGTTGAAGAGGACTATTATACGCCTCCAGGCCATCAGCCATTGCCGAAGAAAAAGTCGTTCAAGGAAAAGGATCAACTCGAGGTTATCGGGCCAGTCCCCCGAGCGAAACATGACAGAGCCCCGCCGGACACTGATGCGTTGCGATACCCTGACCGGGATCCAAAGCGTGGCTTTGGTGAGCCCCAACAGTCCGACGAGGACTCAAGCCGTCAGTTTGGTAGGATAGGAAGACGGTTTGTCGGTGTCAAGGACCATCGCGAGCGCCTCTGGACCGAGATCACGAGGGACTTGGTCGTGAAGGAAGCCCTCGAACGGGCGGGCTATGAGTATGAGGAGACAGAAACGTCGTACTTCATCTTTACCTACTTGGAGAAGGTGCGGACGCACTCATGCGCTGCCGCGTCACTGTGAACCCCTAGCTGACTGCTTTCGCATAGGAGCAAGTCGATGCACTGATCGAGCATTCGGAAGACATTCGCCGCGCACGCCGCCGTCGGGTCCAAGAGATCCACCGCGAGCGAACCTCGTTGCCTCCTCCTACAGCTCCTGGGCCACCGCCGCCACCGCCGCTGCCTGCATCAGCTACGGACAAGGCCGGCCCCCTACTGCTGGACAGCCCACCCCCACGCTTTCCTCGAGAGGAACGCCGACGAACGGAGCGAGAGATGGTTGCAGAAGGAGGACGCTGGAGGCCACCACCGCCTCGGGCGGAGCGATGGTGATAGTCGACTTCTTACAGAAGCATTACATGAGTGGAAAGCCTGCTGCACATGTGTCCGAGACTGCATTGACATTTCATGTGTGATACCCCGAATGAGTTTTGGTTTATAGTTGGTGAGGTCCAAGGTGATCGGTTGGCCTAAAATCCCTTGGGAGCAGCCCTCTATGTTTGGAGCCATACACGACTTATCAATCTACGCTTCAAGACATTACTTAGACGCAGCCAAATTGGAACGGTTTACTGCAGTGTGCATTGCACCAGGTGACTTAATGCTATTTCACAACTCCAATCTTGACGTCTGCTTCACAGTATACAGTAGACCCGGCGTCAGACCCCCTTTTTTTTTTTGCAATGATCCCTTGAGCTTAAGTACAACGACTGGCTCAAGCATCATCTGTCTGACTTGTCTTCCTCGATCTCGTATCATGTTACAGCGAAGATCCGATGATAGGTCACAGGACGAATCGGCGCTGGGCCTGAATACATAACTCTGTAGTACCCGGCGACAAACTCGGACGGAGCCTTCCATCTGACAGATCGAGCGGTGGCTTGTCAGGCCTGTCAGCTGGGACCCCGACCGACTTGATGTTTCACTCTACTCTCGCGTGAACAGTCCTGCTCGGCTTTATCAAACCGAAAGGCTCGAAATCTAGGAGTCAATGGAAAAATGACTGAAGCAGAGAGGAAGAGGAAGCCTTTCCCAGCGTCGTCTCTCTTTCCCGTACGGAGTACTACACATCACATCAATGTGTCGAGAACCCCATTTCTCTCACTGGGCACCCGTCTGTCTACCCTCAAATCGAAGCCTCTCTCAGCTTGACAACCGGATCCCACATTACTAATCCCCTCCATCGAACACACAGTAACTTAATCCAGTCCTCCACAGCCGTACGTACCGGTAGTCCACAGTGCCCGTCTTGAGTACAGTTCATACACTCCATACATAGTATTTACGGCTTCCCAAATTTAGGACCAAAGCCTAGTAAGCCGGTGGATCAACTTACAAGCCACTAGAGCAAATTAAAAGTGTCCCACAAAGGGGGGTGTGGAGGGGGGCCGATGAGAGACACTATCCGATGACTTATTTAAAAGTTGTCTGTGGCTGCTGCTATTTTTCGCCTTACCGTAGTGGCAGGAGCCGAGCTCTTTGAGCGAACGGGAGTATTCATTAGTTGATGGGCATTATGAGCATTCCATTCTATTTTGGTGATGGTCATGCCGTCTGTCAGTGCTGATATGGAAATAGACGTTACGGGACGGAGTACTCGTAGATTGGGGATTGGATCCTTTGGCCCCGGAAGGGATTCTTTCCCCTTGGGTTGAGTTGGGTATTTGTGGTTGGAGGGTTGAGTTGGATTGTGGATGATAACTTATGGGGTTGCTGTGAGAGAGGGATTTTCGACTGGATTGTCACTGATATACGCCCTATGAATCGGTCTCTCTCTCTCTCTCACACACACACACACACACACTCCTTTCGCTTATACTCGTAAGATTGAGGGATGAGAGTGATCGGCGTGTGAGGGACTGACTAATCCGATCCTTGTCCACTTTTTATTTTCCATTTCCCCCCCTTCAGCCACTTCTCAGCCGCCTCGCTGACGGTGTTTCGGATTGGGGGGGGGGGGGACCCGTGGATTACTCGGTCTGGGAGGGATCGTCTATTTGACTTCTGGGTGAGGTGAAGTGTGCCTGTATCGAATTTCCTCGTATAGAGATTTGTGGGAAGATGGCTGGCAGATCCTCGGACACTACGGAGTACAGTAAGCTAAGGAAACCATCGTCTTGCACCAGCCACATGTTGATGATGGTGATGATGATGGAGGTGGTGATATCCCGACGGAAGTCAATTAGGTTTTCCTCATTCTCTTGTCAGTGCCACTGTCATCCTTTTGGGGCGTGTTTCATCCGCGGGAGAGCCGTAGCTCCCGCAAACTTCCCCTTCCCCTTCCCCTTCCATCCCTCTTTCATTTCCTGTCTTGTTGGTTTTCCTGTGTCTTGATGTTTGAGGATTTCGCCCGACTGCTGATACTGCTGGTAGTCTGCCTCAGAAGCGATGGCCACAACAACACCGGAGCTCTGGAGATGAAGTGGTTTGTTTACTCGTACTCGTAGTTAGTTAGTTACTGTGATCTCTAAACCTAAGGACGGGATCTCGGAAGAGCAGCTCCAGTATTGTCGTCATCAACTCTCTTAGCTCGCGGCCGGTGCATGTGCCCAGCAATGGGGTAGATTTGATAACCCGCCATGGATTGGCTGACACGCAGCCCTGCACGAAGCCTACGGTGTACGGAGAAGTTTAGTTGCTTGGTGATGCGTACAGTAGTAGGGCGCACCTCCAGGGATATAGCTGCATGTGCACACAACAATGGGAAGTTAATGCACGGGTGGATGAACATCCCATCCTTTGGAAGTTCCGAGGAATGGAGGAATGAACTCCTCAGCCCGCCAGCCCGCCAGCCCGCCAGCTCGGAAGTTGACTTCTCCGTTGCCCATCATCGAAGCACCACCAACAACATCCCCCACGTAATCATGATGCGCCCACCTACACAACTGCATGGCTGGTCTGGAGATAGCCGAAGCTTGTCTGGCTGTCGTCTCCGCCTGAATGCTCCAATTGTACGCGGTGCCTGGGGGCTTTGACACGAGGATAATCGAACCTTGGAATGCGCTGGACGGTGCAGTGGACATTTCCTTGGGTTTGTCAACGGGACTGACCGGCTGCAAACCAACCCCCCCCCCCCCCCCCATCATCACTTCGCTCCACACCCATGGGCACACACACACCCCCACGGTCGCTCGTTCGAGTCCATGGTTTGGATGCTTCCAGTGAGTTTACGAAAGACGTGGTTCTTCTCATCCCCTCCGCAAGGCACTGAAATCTATCCGAGAGTCTAGATACTCCTGGAGTTCTTTCCCGCCTGTTCCAGCCCCCTCTCGATCATCCCCAGCTCATCAAATACATCAAATACATGTTGTGTACATCACATCATACGCGGACAGCTCAACTCTGGTCAGCTCCGATCCCTTCTAGACCACGGTGTTCCGTCTTGTCTCGCCTGGGCTGCGACTCCACCGGTGCAGATTCTAAGACCAGCAGCTGTCCTGTGCGGTGGCGAGTGCTGCAGCAAGTGGTGCAGTGCAGTGCAGAGCGAATAATAATTGAATGCAATAATACTAAATCTGCCGTTCCCTCTTTCTTTCCTGGGCGTCGGCCCGGGGCATCAGTCACCGTCAACTGGGAACACGGGAAAGAAGACCTTTTTGCGGTCAGCTTTCAGGCAACAACAACAACCACTCTTTCTGTTTGTTGACATTTGACTACTTTCCTCCAAGCTAAACAGTTACTACTAGTATATTCTTCCAACCGAACAAGCCACCTCGATCGACCTAGTTCAGCCCTGAACTTCCCATTTATCTCGACCAAGCAAGCTGTAAAGTAGGCCACGCAGTGCCTGATCAGCTCCCACCAATTGACAGCCCCGGATCTGCGTCCGTGGCCTGTTCTCAAACGCTGAATAACTTGGCTCGGGTACAAAAGTGGCTGACCCCGGCAGATCCATCTCCCTCCTACTTTCTCTCTCTCTTTACCATGCAATTTTGTACTGTACGTACGTACTGTCCTCCGTACTTTACGTACTCCCCCGCTGCCCGTCCGTCGTCTCTCGCCTAGCCTGTGTCAGACAGAGTGACGCACGCACGCAGGCAGAAAGAATAAATTCGCAAATGCAAGTCTGCCCCAATAAGACTGAAGTATTGTCGGTATTTCGGTAAGAAGGTTAAAAAAAAAAACAGAAGGAGGAAGAGGAAAATTGGCACCGAGGATCGCGGCCGCCCCCATCGCCCTCTCCCACTCTCAGGATGATGTTTCAGAACAAGGATCTATCGCGCTGTGTCATGCAGCTAGTGACTGGATCTGTGCCGAATAAACATCGAGGTTTGCTTGGTGGGCTGCCGGTGCTCGCTGTGACTTTAAATTTCGGGGGGTTTGTGTGGTTGGTGTGGTTGTCTGGCCGGACTGCGCCTCAACAGTTGTGTGATTGTTTGGATTGTCAGTATAGTATGGTTCAGTTATACTCAGTAATAATTGAGCATTGCTTCATTCCTTTGTTCAGATGCTGTTGCTGTTCTGTTGTTGTCGTCATAGACCTTTTTGGCCCCCCCTGGATCACCACTTGTGGCCCATTTGCTTCCTTTCCTGCCTTTTGTTTTTTTTCTCCCACCTCCCTCCGTAGTAGGTCCAATTGCGGTGGCGCCGTATTGTAAGCATCCTGTTGAGGACTCCTAGCAGATCGGAATTTGGATTCGGTCCACGTATGGATGTAGGCCGATGGGTACCAGATGGGTAAGGTACGAAGTGTCCACCACACGGTACTGGGGGCGGGAGTCACAAGTGGTTCCAGATACTTCTCTATCTTCGGTCTGAGTCTAATCTCGAGATCGCTCACTGTCAGTTAGTACTAGTGAGTGAGTGAGTGATAATACTGATTCTATAGATGGGGAGAGTTGTTTTTTTTCATATCAAGGCGGAGATCAACCAGTCCGTCCGTGGTTACCTAGCACCAACTCAAGATAGTCTCTCGACTTAGTACTTAGTACTCCGTACTTCCGTAGTGTCTACCTAGTAATTAGTCTTGTCGACTGGATGAATCGAGGAGATTGCCTTAATGCTCCGTACCAGCAAAGACGCGTATGGTCCCGACGGTTGGTGAAGCCACTAAGCCCGAATGTAGCCTGCAGGGCCCCACTCCCAAGCGGGTAAGCCGGATTTTTATTTTTATTCTTTCTGCCTCTTGTTTTTTTCTGTCCCATTCTTTTTTTGGTGTTGTGGTGTTTTTTCTTTTCTTTTCTTTTCTTTTTTTCTTTACTTTGTTATTCAGTATCTCCCATACTTCAAAGTACACGAGAATGTAACTTATTGTATGCAGGCGATTCAACCAGAGACATCGCCATGGACTGTTTTTTAATTGCCTTTTCATGGTGGTAGTAGTGCTTGATTATTATCTACGAGTATCTGGAGTCCAATCTATACTACGTACCTACCGTACACAACAACACCAATTCTAGAGTGATGACTGGCTGACCAAGTGGAACATCGGGACTGAGCCGGATCTGGTCCCATCCTGGTTGTTACCACTAAGACTACGGTAAGACTAAGACTAAGACTAAGACTAACTAAGGACTAAGTCAGTGACTACGACGCCCGCCGCTTCTACTGTGCTGCTGCTGCTTCTGCTGCTGCTGCTGCTGGTCCTGCTGCAGTACGGGTACTGGACTCGTTCGTCGTACCAGAAGAAGACACTAACTTCCTTACCCAGAGCAGTCAAATCAACTCTCCAGCTCCCCCCCATCTGTTTAGTTACTTACTTACAACTTGCTTGGATTTCTTGCTTTTCTTGCTTTTCTTGCTTTTCTCACCTTCTCTTACTCGCTTTCTTTCCCTCTTGTTCTCTTGTTCTCTTTCTAGACTCTAAGTGAGCTAGTTCACCAACTAACACGATCGCTTCGTTTGTTCTCTGTTCTTCCTTATCTGCGCTGTCTTTCCGGCTCCATACGATCGCTCTGTTCCTTGCCTAGCAAGCCATTCACTTCCCCCCCTCCCCTGTTCGGAGGTGACGATGCCGATAACCTGCTAATCCTACCGGTGTCGCCTCGAATCCTGTACCTCCGATTCTCTCCCCCCCTCCTCTCCCCTCAATCTCTGGCTTTGAGTCCCTTCGCTTGTGAGAACGCCCCCTTCAATTGCTCGCCAAGTTTCCACTGCCTCTCGTTGTCTCAATTCGACCCGGAGCCGTCGTTTGGTCAAATCTCTGGTAGGTATCAGTGCTCGATGTGGCCGCTGGAGTTGGTGGCTGATCGACATTAGCTACTTTTACCTTCAACCAAGCCCAAAAGGAACCTTTGGCGGGACACCGATCCGACCAGCAATTGTGGAAGCTCTAGGTCGTCCCCGATCTCGGCACGGGCCTGGCGCATAACATTCTCCAACTTTGGGGAACCTGCAAATAATTTCTTCAGACCGACTGATCGGGTGATTGGAGGGTGTGGTGACTGCAAAGCGTGATACCTTTCGGACCAGTCGACTCGAATTAAGGAGGTCGCCGTCTATCCCTCTCGAAGATTTCACTTCACTCAGTCCGGTTGTTCGTAGCAGCAGCCTTGAAGACGACTTCACGTACGATACTTCAACTGCACTCGAGCATCTGATTCCCGGCATCTCCATTGCGGGTGCGATCGTTGCCTGCCATGCGGGCTCAGCTTGTGCTCCCGTCACTGCTCGGGGCGATCGCCTTACTCGCCTGGCCAGTGTCGGTCTCCTCATCTATCACCTACTGTTCGTCCGTGAACACGGGATCTTCCCAAGCCGCAAGTATGTCTTCGTTCATGGCAGCTTTCGGCTCGGTTCTAACCGTTCATAGATGAGAGTACGTTCCAGTCAAACGGTCTCTGCGAGGATCATTGCAGTTCCTATGCGTTCGGTATCCTGCAAGGCTACGACTGCTGGTGTTCGAACATTGTTCCGAATTCGGCAACCAATGTGAACAACTCGAAATGCAGCCAAGATTGTCCTGGGTATCCGGATGATAGCTGCGGAAGTACTTCCAAGGGCCTGTATGCCTACGTCGAAGTCGTCGGCAACCAGCCAACAGGCACCGCGACCGTCTCGTCCACTTCAACCACATCAACTTCGGTCAGTAAACCTCTTGGCCGGAATCTTTGTTATCGCACTGGTGAAGGATGTGCATTACGGGGCTAGATTGGGACCCGGTTCGATCAAGTGAAACCGCTAGGGACCACATCGTACTCGGTCGAGATAAATGCTCTTGATAAGATTGTGGCGCATCCTGAACGAGTCGCGATTCGAAGAGATGGTACGAACAAGACCACCGCACAGACACTGACTTCTCTTAGACATCCTCGACACAATCGTCTTCTACGACATCAGCTGCCACTACAACTACTGGCCAGACTGTGTCGACCGAGACCAATGCTGGGGGTACGGTCAAGACGGTCACTCTTGAAGCACCACAGCCGACCGCGACGGCGTCCAGTACTGGCACGTCGTCCAAGTCCACTAGCAGCTCGGGCATGAGCTCGGGAACGATTGCTGGTATTGTGGTGGGATCCATTGGTGGTGCCCTTGCAATCATTGCTCTGATATTCGTTCTCTTCTTCGCCAAACGCAAGCAGCGTGCGAGCAGCCCTGATCCAAGTGTACAGAACATCCTACTGGACGGAAGACAAAGCAAAGGCTCACAGATGAGTTTCATGAAGGGCATGTTTTCCGATAACCATAGTCATACGCTATCGGCCGGATCGTCGATCGCCGCCCACCGTCTGCCGACCTTCACGGACAACCGCATGAAGACCGATACCGTTCTGTTTGCCAATGGTCGTCGTGACAGCGATGCATCGCTGCAAGACAACGAGGACTATTCTCGTCCTGTTCTACGGGTCAGTCATGTGTTTTGTTCTGATGATGCTATGTCTCAGGCTAACGATAATCCTAGCTCACGAACCCGGACTAGAGTATCAGTTGATGGCCGACCGAGCCCGTCTCCTTGCGTTTTTTTCTATTGCATTTGCGCTCTCCTATGTCTCTGTCAATTCTCGATTTGCGTGTTTCGGCGAAAACAGCGGTGTTATGATACCCATTTGTCACATAATCCTCTCGACATTTCACACATTTTTATTCGACTGCCTTGGGAGATGATGATGAGCTCGACCCACCACACCATCTCCGCCACCGACCAACCACCCGGTTCCTCGCTATTTCTCCCCTTTTCCGCCGACCGAACCCCGCTTTTCCCAGCCAGCTCACTTTTACTGACCAGCCAACCGACCGACTGCATTGCACCCCCTCTTTCTCCTCGATCATCTACGCGTCATGTATTTTTGACCGATGACGCCATGAACCTCGGTCGGAGAAAGGGGGAAAGGGGGAGAGAGAGAGATCCCAGAGGAGGATACTATCCCCAGCGACCTCACACAACCTCACACAGGCATCCTTGATCAATTTGGGTCCGGAGGAAGAAGTCACGGTCGCTTCAGTGTTGCAGTGCAGTGCAATGCATGCAGGCCCTCCATCAATTGTCCGCTTGATGTCGACAACCACACCTCCTTTCAACACCCCCTTAAACTCCTCTACAACCTATCCTCGCCATTTCAATGGTCGAAGTTCGTGTATATCGACACACAGGACCTGTGCCACCGGCACGGGCTGCAGTACATACTCTAATAGATTAGCAGAGCCCTGATATTATGCTCTTTGCCTTTTTTTCTTTTTCTTTTTCTGTTGTTACCGTTTTCTGTCAGTGTCAAAGCTAAGCTAAGCTGTACCTGAACCGTTGTTTTTCTTCCTGCGGCCATCTGTGCACACCTCGAAAATTGCATTGTTTAAGACATTTGTTGATTGGCCGGTGGCAGCTGTGCTGAGCACCATGCACCCAATGGGCCTGTAATATCCCGCCAGCATGTGATTACTCTAGCCTCGATGTATGGAAATTAGCTCGAGTATTTGATATAGATCATCGTGAAATATACAGTCCGCGGTTGAACACCTGAACCACCTGGAAATTGTGTGCGGGTACATCCGTTCCACCAACTCCTCGATGAGAAAACCTTCCTTCTGTCGAAACAAATGACGACACAGTTGGTGATAAACACGCGTGCGGTTCAAGGTTCCTGGACTTCCCTTCCGCCTCTGGTAGTCTAGTGGCCGGCTCTTTTCTCCATCGTCCCAGGCACGCGAGAATTTCCAGATGCCCACCCACTCTGCCCACTTGTCCCCACCCACTACTGAGACTTGTACATACTATGTACGTGTAGGGGGGATCCATCCTCCTCCTGACTCGATCACTCACATCCAAGTGCATCCCATACATAACGACTAATTCCCTCATTCCGAGCCCGAGCCTCGAAAAAAAGAGAAGCGGGTACCTGCATTGACTACAAGCACAGTACATCTCAATATCTCCCTCGCCAGTCGCCACCCCGATCATTCCCTCACAATCGGGTGTTGGGGGGAGTGTAGAAATGATGTCATGGGTTTGATTGTGGATTGTGTAGCCACGGATTCCTTGCCGGTGGCGGTTTTGTGCTGGATTTCATTAAGCATAGGCTGCCGGTAAGTTCGCTTTCGTTTCAGATCTAACGTTAGGTGGTTGATCCAGGGTTTGAGGGTGGGATTTGGCTTCTTGCTTTGTGGGTCGGAGGGTGGTTTTTTTTGGTTGGATATAGGAGGGTTTTGGATTTGGGTCTTGCTGTTGATGTTGTTGTTGTTGGTGTTGATGTTACTATTGGGGTGGGGATGGTGTTTAGGTTGTCTGGGGGCGGTAGAGGGGTTGTAGTGGTGGTGGTGGTGGTGGTATACGGGGTTGCTTCTTGTGGAAGGTAAGGACATACACCTATAGTACAAATCTACCGACTTCTCTCTAGCTTGACGGGTCTACGATCACCCTGTATCAAGATATGCCATGTCATGCCATGCCATGCCATGCTACATGGTATATATACACCCTGGATGCACGCCCTGGACTGTACAGATGCATGCAACTAAAGTAGCACATGACCACCACGACCACCCCCGGGACAGCTTTACCCTTCCAGGAAATGCGGAGTGTCGCCTCGGTTTTTTCCTCTTCGGTCCAATTGATCCAGACTGGCACCAACCTACCACCCTACCAAGCACTGCAATGCGCTGCACTATGTGCCATTCCACAAAAAGTGGTATCATGTCCTCGGGCCTGGATAGCGGTCAGCTGCGGTCGAGGAGATACTGTCCTGCATGTACTGTACCGTACCTATCTTGCGGCCAGAGGTCCCCCGCATCCCGCCGTGATAACAACCGAGCTTGGTTGGATATCGTAGCTATCTACTCCGTACTTCGTAGTGTCTGTATCTCTACCTTGACACGCTCGACCTCAGTTACGATGTAAGTCGAGGCGGAAGGAGATTACCCAGTACCTTGGAGAGGTAGCTGCACTTCGCCATCTCCGTCTTTCTCAGATGGAGGGTTAGATAGATGCAAAGTGCGTTGAGCCAGCAAGTCACTGCATGGAGCTGCTGTCTCGCAGTGAAGCTGCAGCTGCAGCTGATAAGCAGGACATCCATCCAGAGACGAGAGACTGATACGCCGATAAAGCCCAGCCATCAAATCATCTCATTCCCTACATCCCCACGCTCCAATCAACCGCGGGGTGCATGCCCTGGTGTCTCGACCATCCTGCACACCTCAGAAAATCCACCACTGGGCAATGGGCACTCTCCCTATCAAACCAGACCGGACCAAACCAAACCAAGCTGCATGTCATGGATGTGCTGCTCCCTTATCATCTCTGCGTTCGCGCACCCAACACAGTAAAAAGCCCTTTGCATGCTGATCACTCCCCCCCCCTCCCCCCCCCTCCTCCGAGCCTCAGACCGAAAACGGTAGATCGAAACGAGTCGCTTGTTACATACATACATGTCCCCCCCTCCCTCCCCCGCTTCCCTTGCGAGGTGATATGAGGTCGGTGGTGGATCTTTTTGTGTCTCTATGATGGGGTGATGGGGCTGCCTTTATAATGTCGGTGCGTCCGGATATGGTATCTGGCAATCTGTTTACCCTGTCAAGCTTGGCTGCGCTGTCTACCCTCTACGCTGTCTACGCTGTCGACATAGCAAGATAGCGATACACAAGGCCGGGAAAGTCCTGGAGTCTAGCGCCGATTTATTGAAACAACACCGATGAGACGGGGTTGAAGCTATGGAAACAATGTTTGACCGAAGCAACGTATGGCTGCTCGGCCTCTTCATGGTCGTTCTGTCGGGGGTATATCTTGCGGTGAATAGACTGCAAGGCCGCAGCAGCACTTCAATAATGCAGCGACTGCGCAGCTACGCCCGATCGCCGATCAGCACACGGCCGTCCTCGCCGGCGTCGAACGAGAAACAAGCCGCCGCGAACGGGGGACCGTCCTACGTGGACGCGCTCCCGCCACCGCGCCGGCAGGCGCTGGCCGCGCTCCCGCTCGCCGTCCCCTACCAGGCCATCGACGAGGAGGAAATCAAGCGGCATATGCTGCCGATGACGGCCGACTACCGCACGAGCCCGGACCGGCGCTACACCCCGACGGGCTTCTCGGTCGCCGAGCTCAAAGCCCTCGGCGACTTCCCGGACTACGCGACCCTCAGCGGCGTGCCCCTGCCCCAGCCGTACCGGGGTTTCGACATCGACCGGGCCCGGCCCCGGCCCTATCGCCCGTTCCGCTGGGCGTACCATCAGACCATGTGTAGGTTTCCCCTCCAGCCCTACGGACAAGAGGCGACGCTAACCATTCCTCCATACGGGGGCAGCCCTCACGAAGATGGAGACCGACTGGTGGATCGAGCTGGAGAGCACCTACCGCGCGCGCATCGCGCAGCGCCGCGCCCTGTACGCGCAGCACGGCAGCGGCGTGCTGGGCGCCCTGCCGGGCTCCGAGCTGGCCTGCAAGGAGCTGATGGAGATGGTGCTGCAGTTCGTGTGCGCGCGCTACCCGCAGTACTTCGCCCTCGAGGACCGGCGCATCTTCCACAACCGCATCCTCGGCGTCTCGCAGGACGTCACCGCCGCCCGCCACCCGCTCGAGGTGCTCATCGACCACATCCCCGAGGACTTCGGCATCATGCTGCGCGACGAGACCACGGGGTACTACTTCCTGCGGGCCGGCGTCGTGTGCTCCTCGCTGGGGTGGAATGTCGGCAAGAAGATCGGGATGCAGCTGCATGAGATCCATGAGACGATTCCAGACTATAAGGAGAAGATGCGGTTTTCGATGGATCGGTGGGTATCCCGTTTCATTGGGATGGGGGTGAAACGTGTGTTGGGATGCGGCTAATGTTGATATGCGGACAGGTTCTTCACCAAGATGCCCGCCGACAAGCCTATTCAGCGCGGGTCCTGGGGTCTGGAGGTGGGCGAACCCCTGTACATGCCCCAGGGCGATCCGCACGAGGTGCTGCGGCTGTCCCAGGACCCGGCCCTCAAGCTGGAGGACTGCAACCTCCGCGTCGACTGGCAGACGCTGCGGCGGCTGCCGCTGTCGGCGGCCGTGGTCTTCAACTTCAAGGCGCTGTTCACCCCCGTCACCGAGTTCCGCGACGAGCCGGGCGTGCCGGCGCTCGCGGCGACGGTCCTGAAACACGGGAAGAAGAATCTGATGGAGTACAAGGGGACGTGGCATGTAGAGCATGTGGTTTTGCCGAATCTGGAGAAATGGGCCCAAGAGCAGGAGGAGAGTGGGTTGGTTCCTAAAGGTTGGGAGGTGGCGACTCTGGAAGAGAGTCCGTGGTTTAAGGGGTGGCAGGACAAGTGGCATCGGCAGCAGGGGTTTTAGAGTATTCTCGTGGTTATCTGGTGGTCAAGCTGGGTGGCTTTTGTGTATGTATTGATTGGTGGTTCTCTTTGTTTAGGTTGGGATATAGGTGAGACTAAAACTTAGGTATCTCTGGTTGCTCATCAACTTGTATCTTCCCTGGTCGAAGGCTGAAGCTGGTGTTGAGATTTAGTCTCCCTGCTGGCTGACTCTGAAGCAAAGTAGTCGAGTCGAGGACCAGCGAGTGCTCAGACTTGCGCTTCTTCCAATTGTGTAGATCGTAGGGTTTTGCGATGCATCTCACCCGACGCAACGTCACGGCCAGATCATAAGGTACAGGGTCGATACCATCTCCTGCCTCTGACACAGGCTATGCACCTAGGCCACAGGCTGGGTTGTCAGGACATTCCCGAAACGCGGAGCACCCAGTTGGTGACGTATACGAGTCCAGGGGGCTGCCAGCCGACTTAGCCTGCAGGAGCCAGCCAGGCGTGTGAAGCTTTCTCTTTCCTTCGTGCGCATCAATGCATCCATCGATGACAGCACAACTCGCAAACTGCCAAGGTCTGCCTCAATCATCATTCTCCTCACCCTCCTCTTTGTCGTCCTCGTCATCACTCCTCTCCATCTCATCCAACTCCGCCTGCAACGGACTCACCCGCTCGTCCAACAACTCCAAATCCTCCAACTGCTGCCGCGGCGGCAACTTCCACAGACTCGTACCACAGACACGATCCTTGGTCAACAGCTCATCGACAAACTGATCCACGTACGTCAGGGTGAACGAGTCGCGCACCCGGCGCTTCAGCTTCCGGTAGTCCAGCAGCAGCGGCTCGAGGGTCTTGTAGACGTCCGCTGCGGGGAAGGTCAGCCGCACGTAGAACGCCGCCAGCGCGCGGAGGTACTTGAAGTCGCCCCGCGCTTTGACGACCGCATCACTTCCATCGCTGTTCTCGTCGTTGTTCCCGCCGTTATTCCCGTTCGGGTTGTTGTAAGTCGGGGGATCTTCGGTGTCGGGATCGGTGAAGTTCAAATACTCGAGGATGATGTCGCGGTCCGGGTTGAGCTGGAGGAGCTTGAAGGCGAGACACAGGAACGGGGTGGGCTTCTCGGCCACGCCGTACACGCCGCCGATGCAGGTGAGGTCGACGGCGCGGTCACACAGGGTGGCCGCGTTCAGACCGAAGCATTGCTCCTTCCAATAGTAGGAGTCGGTGATGCGGTCGCGGACCGCCTTCTCGAAGAGCGTCGCCGGGTTGACGCCGCGGATGAGGGGGCCGGTGTAGCCTCGGTTGTCGAGGAAGGAGGATGCGTCGGCGCGGTGGGTCATTTTCTTTTTTTTTTATATATGTTTTGGAGAAAGTCAAGATGAGGGGGGAGGGAAAGGAAAAGGATAGAATGCGGCGGCGTAAGGTAAGAAGAAGAAGAGAGGGAGGGGAGTGGAAAGTTAGGTGAAGGCGTTTGGAGTTCGTTCTTGGCACCAGCTCCCTCTGCCAAGCCTTCTTTCTTATCGATTGTCGCGCGGACAACGAAATCACTCTTCGTCTGAAACATGGGCTGAGTCGGTGTTTATATTATGCGCCGATGATTCTATCAACGATGAGGCAATAATTATGGGTCCTACTACCACCTAGTGGGAAGAGGGATGTGCCTGGTGGAAGGTTATTCATAACTCTATCTTTTCTTTTCTTGACTGCAAAATACACATTCCAGTACATACGCTACCATTCCTCCCCCGCATTATCATTATCAACAAGCATACTTCATACTTCATATTGTACTGTACATACCTCCAGCCCATGTGGTTGACATCGCAATCGCAATGGTCCTCCTAACCTCCTCCACCGTCTCGGTGATCATCTCCTCCGGCATCATCTGCACCTTCACCTTCCTCCTCTTCCTGTCCGGCTATGTCCTCCAGCAACAATCCGTCCGCAACATCCAACATGCCATCCGCGCACCAGAGCTATCCCTACCCCGTCACAACGAGGACCAATCCATCCTCCTCAACACCCCACCAAACCAGCAACAACAAGAACAGCCCATAACCCAGCCAAACCAAGACCCCACCCCCGCAGCAGAAGGCACCTACGCCTACCTTCAGCTCCTCACCCGCCCCGACCCAAGCCACATCTGCAGCGCGATCCTCTTCTTCCACTCCCTGACCGCAGCAACCGACCCAAGCAACCGCACCCGCATCCAAGATCGTCTCTTCATGTACCCGCGCGAATGGGACCAGCTGTACACCCCCTCCAACCCCTCCAACCCCTCCAACCCCTCCAGCCCCCCCGATACCACCGACACCGACCCCAAACACACAACCATAACCAAAGCCCTAGCCCACCTCCGCACCGCCGCCCTAGCCAACAGCATCTGGCTCCTCCCCATCGACACAGGCCACCAAACCACAGACGCCCACCTCCTCCGCCACGGCCAGATGCAATTCGTCTCCTACGACAGCGTCCTCTACCTGCAGACCCCGGGCCTCGTCACCTCCGTCCCCAATCTCGACGCCGTGCTGCTCTCCCACCCGCTCCCCGGCAAGCACGATCCCGCCCGCCCGGACTCGTACAATAACCCCGCGTGGATGGCGGTGCCCTTGCGTCCGGAGAGGGAGAGCGTCTTGCCGGGCGGCGGGGCGTATCTGGTCACCGTCAATCGGGTGGGGAGTGTGGGGCAGGTCGAGGCGAGGGGGCATGTCATGCGGCGGGAGGTTGGGGGGTTGGTTAGGGGGGTTGTTACGGAGGGTGATACTGATGCTGATACTGGGGCTGGGGAACAGGCCGGGTATGTGGTCTTTGAGACGGAGGAGGATGGGAGGGTGAGGTGGGAGGGGAATGCGTTGTATGGGGCGTGGAGGCGGGGGGTGGAGGGGGTTTGTCCGGGGGTGGAGTTTGAGGGGTTTTATGATTGAGTTCGTTTGCTTTGGTTGGAGTTTATAGGCGGTTTTTCTATGATGATGGTTATGATTTATGATTTTGGGGTTTGGGGTGTGTATTCGGTGTGTGGGTGTTGTATATGAGTTGTAATGAGAATTGATGCTATAAATTAACACTCCATTCTGGCGGTGGGTTTGGGAACGAAGTTGTAGATTTGAAGGCCAGAGGGTCAGGTAGTCACTGTTGTGGTCGTTGCTGTACCATATCTATGGCCTGTAGGTAATATAGGGTGACGTTGTTTGATGGTACGCAGCTGGGACCGGCTACTACGCTACCCCCTAGTGAAGACACCGCGCCAAACATCCGAGGCATCACCGAGGCACCCCGATCTCATATCCCAACAACACCTCCGTCGTGTTCCCCTCCCATCCCCGGTTCCCACTCGTCGACACCATAAACCGACACGCCTGGTCGATGTACAGCTGCGACACCGTACCCGTCCGATGTCCCGGGATGATGAGGAAAGGCACCGTCGAGTGTCGGGTCACCTGCTCATGCTTCAGATCGTATAGTCGAAGGATATCATGAGATGCACTGCATCGTATCAGTCAGCTTGATTCTTCTGCTCATCACCAGACCAAACCTACCAGACAATATGCCGGCCATTGGGCATCGCCCTCAGCGCCGTCACCGGCCCACTGCCCTGCGGGAACTTGAACGTCCGCTCCGGATCCCTCAATCCCTTGTGGAGACTGTATTCCTCCACGGTCCCATTACGCCGTCCCGCGTAGATGTAGTTCCCGTCCGGGGACCAGCACGCATTCATACACCACGGAGGAGCATTGCGCGGGATGATCCGCGCCACCGGGTCCGGCTGCCGTCGATCCCAGATGCGGATCGTGCCGTCGATCGACGCCCCCAGAAAGGTGTTGTCGTTGCTGGGCGTGTGCTCGGGTTGTGCCGGCTCGCTGAATGCAGTGCTCTGTGCGGTCGGCTCGATCTCCTCCGCGTGAGGCAGGCCGTTGACGACCGGCGCGGGAGCGCCGTTGGGCTGGACGGGGTCGGTCGAATCCGGCGCCTGGTCCATGGCGTTGGGGTCGGGGGGCGCGGGGACGGCATCCGCGGGCGCTGGGGGTGGTGGTGCTGCTGCTTCTGCCACTTCATTGTGGCTCGTCTCCGGCTCGCCGGGGGCATCGGCCTCCGGAGGCACTCCGTTAGTGAGTGCTTTGCCAAACTCGTCATCGTCATCAATGCCGAATGCGTTGCCTGATCCGCCCGCCTCGTCACCGCCAGGCCCGTCGCCGTCGCCGAACAGAGAGTCGGCGCCGCCAAAGAGCGAGTCCGCTGGCGAGCCCGCCTGCGGGTCCGGGTCAGCGTCATTCTCGCCTTGGTCGTTGGACGTGTCCATGGATCCGAAGCTATTCTCCCCCCCTGCCGCCTGGTAGTTCGACGAGTACGTGCCATTCGGCTGTGGCGGTTCGATGACATCCTTCGGCACAGGGAGGCTGGACTCCGGGCGCATCTCGATCGCCGAAATCTGCCCCGCGGTCGACCCGAACGCGCGGCGCGTCTGTCCGGTGTTCAGATCCCAGTCAAAGAGCCGCTTGTCCCAGCTGCCGGACAGCAGGGACTTCTCGTCGGAGGTCAGGGTCAGCACCGAGACGGCCGAGGTGTGCTGCCGCAGGAGAGCGATCTCCTTGCCCTCCTCGTGGCGGACGGACTGCAGGCGGATGTTGCCCGACTCCTGACCGGACAACAGCCACAGTCCCTCACTCTGGCACGCCAGCGAGTAGACCGGCGATATCGTGTTCCCATCCATGTTCTCCCAGTAGGTCATCAGCACGCCGGCCTTGATCACGCTGTCCACGAACGGGTGCCGCTGCGCGACCGTGAGCATCAGCTTGCTGTTGATCGAGTCCACCCAGTTGAATTTCCGCACGTATCCGTCCGAGCCCCCGCTGAACACCCATCGCATATCCGCCGTGGCCGTTACCGCGTTGATCGAGGTGCTGTGCGGGGCCGCCGTCGTGGGGACGATGTCGAACGTCGAGGCCGTGAGGCACTCCGGTCGCACCGGAGGGTGGTATACAGATACCGGAGACGCAACGTTCGCGGCCCCCGGCGACGTCATCTCCACGTCCTGATTCTGTTGCGTCGCGACCCCCGCGCTCTCGGACACGTTGGACTGGCTTTCCGCATCGGGGTCGGCGTCTTCGGCGTCGGCGTCCGCTTCGTTGTCGTTGACCCCGTCGTCTGCATCTCGGAGCGTATCGTCCATCTCATTGTCGGAGCTGCCGTCTTGGGAGCCTATTGTCGCGGAAATGTGTTAGTCGACTGCTGCTGAAAGAGGTCATGGGAGGGAGGAGGGGGTCTCTACCGGCAAGATCGCGATCGTCGTCATCTTCTGCGAGGGAGGCCATTTTGCAACAGGAAATCGACAGGGATTATAGCTATGTGTGAAAGCAAGGAAGTGAACGGCAGCGCGAGTGTGAGGTCGCCAGTAATATAGAGTGTATGCCCGGCTGGGGTTGCTAGAACCCTTGTCGGTGGGTAGGGTGGGGGGCTTCAATAAGAGGTCAATGAATCGGGGTTATTGGAGTCGCATGCCATGCGCGCATTGTACTGTTCTAGTTTCAGTGAATATTGCCGTTATATAAAGGTCTTCGAGAGCACATTTCTCGGGATTATAGGTCGAATTGTATCAGGACCTCCATTGACGCCCCCAAAATATAGAGTACTGCGATATAGGCCAAGGATTGCGATCAGTTGGTGAATCGCTCATGGCTGTACCTTTTCCCCGGGGCGAGCATGCTGACCGCCTAGTTGGTGCCTGAGTATGGAGGCTGCAAAGAGGCATGCCGAACACGGTTAGCGGAGTCTTTCCCCGGATCAACATTTTTCGACAAGAGTGGGTAGGTATACTTCGATTCATGATGGATGCTGTGGCTGTTTGCTGGCGGCCGCAGCTTCTTTGTATCCTGCTCATTTTGGTAGATCTGGGAGGATGAGGTGTTCTTGCTGGAAAATTGCTGTGGCCCAACTTGCAAAAGTAATTCCAGATGGCACGCTTTTATACGTCCATGCAGCCAGGGCCTAGTCTAGATCTTCGTTGGGGATGTCTGTTTGCCGGCATTGTTGCTCATGCAAACGAACAACGATCCGGCTATACTTTTGGGATGACTGGCTGGTTCTCAGTTTGTCTGACTCGACTACCCAATGTTTAGGAAGTGTTATAGTGAATAATTTATGGAAAAGACAAACAGACTCTATGAAAAAGATGTAAATAATACCTAGGTCTGGGCGATTGCAATTGCCTCGAGGTGAAGCAACATCCCGCATGAGAAAGAGAAGGTGAAGGAAGCCATAGAGCTGTAGAACTTAAGCTAGCTGTGTTCCAATGTGTGAATTTGGCCAGACATTTTTCATCTGAACAAGTTACTGAGAAACCGCGCCTCTGGAAAGCCAGGGACCTCTTTCTTACTTGCTTTTGGCTTTACCTATACAGTGAATGAGATTCTTCTGTTAAAACTGCACCGGCTCATATTGAGTGCAGCTTAGCTTTTATTTTAAACTTACAAATACTACAATTGTCTGAAATCCTCGTTTTGCACCCAGAACGCAATTGTTTTAATTGTTGAGGACTACACCCTAACCTCGAAAAGTCTACTGTCATTTCCCTCTCACTGCAGAATCACTTGCTTGACAGGGTCGAGAATTATTCCTAACATAATACAGACTTATGACTCCAGATTTGCCAACAAGCCAACCCATTACCCCCCAGATTGTCTGGAAGTCTAACACGCAATTGCTAGCACCCTCATCCTTAGCACCTACAACAGACTCCGTCAACACGAGTCCTTCCAAAGTCGTTCCCTCTTTCGACAAACAACCCACAATATGAAGCACAAGAAGCAGAAACGCGGGCTCTTCCTGTACACAAGCAGACTCCCCGAGCCAGCAGAAGTCCATCCAGAAAAGAAAGACCACGCCTGTCCCGAGATCAGAAACTATCTTTTCCCTTCCAAGCCCGAAAACCCGGAGCCATGGCTGAATCGCCCGGAGCTGCCTTCTTCAGCGGAGATCATGGGCATCGCGGAGGAAGATGCAGACGACGAGAACTTCGTTGACCTCGCCCCCAACAACATCTTCGGTCCCTGGGAGTCGGAGCACGCGTACCTCAAAGCACACTATGAGCTGCTGCGAGAGGATGCAGTCGCTCCGCTGCGGGATGCCGTAGCACATGTTCGCGGACACCCAGACATGATGGAGAACAAAGTTGCCTCGATCTACGAGAAGGTATGTCACTTCGATCCTATGAGCCAGCTCGGTGTCTGGGGTTTTGGATCTCGGCTCACGTCTACGACCGCCAGGTTTACATCATCGGTGTCACTTGCTCCCCTAAGGGGCTTGGATTCCGGATTCAGTTTTCAACACATCGAGCGGGAAAAAATATCGCTTGGGAGTACTCGAAGCGTCTGATCACTGGATCCCTTGTCGCGCTCTCCCCGGCAGACGATGTCTTTCGGACGCAATGTGTCGTCGCTGTGGTGGCGAGCAGGACTCTGGAGAGCGTGAAGATGAAGCCTCCGCAGATAGACATCTTCTTCGCGAAGCCTGAGGATGTCGAGTTCGATCCCCAGAAAGAGTGGCTGATGGTCGAAGCGAAAGATGGGTACTTTGAGTCGGTTAGACACACGATGACGACTTTGCAGAAAATCGACCAGGAAAGGTAAGTAGTGTTGTATTTTTTTATCGCATGTCCGGTTTTTAACCATGATATGCAGTTTTCCTCTATCCGACCACATATGCCGACTTGATCATCAGATCGAGCCCCCGGAATATGTGAAAAGCAACCCTCGCGTCGATCTCCAGGCAATCATCGAGGAGTGCGAGGAAGACAGTCGAATTGACCTGCTTGCAGGATGGCCATCGGTGCCGATTGGAGATCGTGATGCAACCCAATGGGAAGCCCTTCATAACATGCTGACCAAGCGACTGTCCATTGTACAAGGTCCCCCGGGGACTGGCAAAACATATGTGTCAGTTCTTGCGTTGAAGATCTTGCTCTCCAACATGAAACCCAATGACCCGCCCATAATCCTTGCCTCTCAGACGAACCATGCCTTAGATCAGCTGCTCAGACTGGTCTCGCTCTTCGAAGAGAAATATATCCGTCTGGGCGCGCGCAGCTCGGATGCCGGTGTCAAACTGCGCACTCTCTTCGCTCTTCGAGCAAATGAGATGGCTGTAGTCAGTGGCGGTGCGGGGACAGCAGCCAGTCTCGACTACAGAAGACTGACCAAAGAGATAGCCGACCTCCTAGAGCCATTCGGGGCCGAGCGTGCGGGTGCGCCGCTATCGTCGGAGTTCTTCGTCCAGTACGGCGTGCTGACTGAGGCTCAGCTAAACTCGCTCAAAAAAGGAGCAGAAGACTGGATCAGTTCTGACAAAGAAGGCATCATCGATCCTTTAGTCGCTTGGCTAGGGGAAGAAGCGGTGCCTTTCCAGGTCGAATATGCAGAGGACAACTTCGGATTCGCAGAAGATGAGATTGACCTCGAATACGAACAGTTGAAAGAACTTGAGGCGGAGCAAGGGCTCGAAGATGACGGTTTTGAGTACCTAAAAGGCCGCTTTCTCTACATTTTTGACAGCATGTGTGGGCGGAGCCATTCTTTCCCCAGTGGGTTACCTTCCAACCATAACAAGTTCGCGGATTTGTGGAAGGTCAAGCCAGAAGCACGAGGACACATATACGACTCAATGCGGCAGGTGCTCAAGGAGAAAATCACAAAACGGCTCCGTGAACTTGCTTCCAAGTACCAGAAGAATTGCAGGTGGATACAAGCTGGTCGATGGGAGCTAGATCATGCAATCCTTCGAGGCGCAAAGGTCATCGGCATGACTGCTACCGGCTTGAGCAAGTACAGAGGTCTCGTCTCGAGTTTGAAGCCCAGGATTGTGCTGATTGAGGAGGCCGCTGAAGCAATTGAGGCCCCAATCGCAGCTGCATGTTTTGACTCTCTTCAGCACCTGATACTCGTCGGCGATCATCAGCAACTGCGAGGAAACTGCACTGTGCAAGACCTGGAAGGGGATCCCTTCTACCTCGATATCTCGATGTTTGAACGGCTAGTGAATAACAACATGGGGTACGTCACCTTGCGATGGCAGAGACGAATGCCCCCGGAGGTACGGCAGTTGCTAGAGCCCATCTACGGCACCCTCGAGGACCATAGATCGGTGCTTCAACGCCCCAAAGTGGTTGGTATGGGGGACCGCCGGTCTTACTTCTTCACTCATAATTGGCCTGAGACTCGAGACAGCTTTGCATCGAAGTATAATGAGACCGAAGCACAGATGATCGTGGGGTTCTTTGTTTATCTAATCCAGAACGGTGTGCCTGTCCACGAGATCACCATTTTAACCTTCTACAATGGACAGAGAAAGCATCTGCTGAACCTTATGAAAAGACACCCTTACCTTCAAGGCCTGTACCTGAAGGTCGTTACCGTCGACTCCTATCAAGGTGAAGAGAACGAGATCGTCATTCTCTCCATGGTCCGTAGCGGGGGTGACAACATCGGATTCTTGTCCATCGTGAATCGTGTCTGCGTTGCGCTGTCGCGTGCCAGATGCGGATTCTACATCTTTGGAAATGCAAATTTTGCTGCAGTCCATAGCGACTTGTGGAGCCGTGTTGTCTCCATCATGAAGCCCCAGCGAGTCGGGGTGGAGCTGCCCCTGACCTGCGTGAAGCATAAAGAGAGGACTTTCATGAAAAGTGGGTTCCTCCTCCTCCTGGCCTGAGATAGGTTCGATGCTAATGGTTCTTTGTCTTCACTCAGGCCCCTCCGAATGGGACTACATAAATGGAGGATGCTATGAAAAGTGCGGCGAGAAGCTCGACTGCGGCCATTTATGCAGCCTGAAATGCCATAGCTTCCCCCACTCACGAGTCGTGTGCGATAGCGTCTGCAACAAGAGATTGGAATGCGGTCACAAGTGTCGGTCATTATGCTCGTCCCAACATTTATGTTCGTGTACGAGTTGCCAAGTAGACTTGGAGACGAGTTACGCTGCAGCAACGGCGGCGGCGGCGGCGGAGTTGAACGTCCCGGTGGAACCGAAAGCGGATCCCCGCCCCGAAGGCATCCGCGCCTACCAAGCCTATGCCAGCGGAGGAGTCAAAGAACACGACGCCATCTTGTTTGAAAAAGCTCGAGCCAGTAAAATGCCGAGTGCGCCAGATACGGATCTGTGCACCGCGATGGAGGATCTTATGGTGATGGATGACGAGCAAGGAGGGGGCGGCGGTAAGGACCAGGCAGGAGAGAAGAGGGTGAAGGCGACTCCCCGACGGATGTCGGTGTCACTTCTGGACTTGTACGATGAGTGAGATTAGAATACCTTCACCAATGGGATAATTACCAGCCTTGCAGGAGAGGAGCTATCTCATTGCAGAGGTCTCGATTCTCTTCACCGTGGATACTATCGAGTCGATATTGTATAAGTGAACTGTTTTGCTGCAATTGTCATCTGCTTGACCGATGGAGGTACTGCAGCAGGATCATGAAAATACAGCCGCTGTATACTTGGTTGAGTCCCTGCGTAACCACGGGTCTGATACGAATAATACATGTCATTCGTGAATCATATGTCGTTGTTGATGAGCTATGTACAGTACTTCATTCCTTGGTGGATGATCACCAAGCAACTTTCGCGACCACGCTGTGGGGAAACATGCTCACGACGACCTTCCTGATCTCATCCATCATCAAGACCCCCACCGCAAGGCCCAGCGGGATACACCAGAACTCCAGCGGAATCGACGCGGTGTTGAACAAGGACTGCAGGCCGGGTTCTTCCGTCACGAAGATGGCGATGGCCAGCGACACCAGGATCGCCAAGGGCAGCCACAAGTTGCGCTGCTTCTTGCGGAGAGGGTCGGCCTGCAGGATGGACCGGCGCTTGTTGCGCACGGAGAGGATGTTGCCCCACTGCATGATCACCAGCGACACGAAGTAGACACTCTGGCCGACCGCGTTGAAGTGGGCCAGCTCCGCCTCGGTGTAGCCGTAGAAACCGTCGGCGTACTTCCCGAAGGCGAAGACGAGGGCGTGGAAGGGGATGCCCGCGTGCTTGTACATATACAGGAAGAACATGGCGTGGGCGCTGACGGCCTCGATGACGCCGATGAACAGGTACGCCTGGCCGTAGATCTTCAGGTTGATCAGGTGGTCGGTCTTGTGGTTGCGGGGCGGGATGCTGAGCAGGTCGAACTCCTCCTTCTCCATGATCAGCGACAGCGACAGGAACAGATCCGTGAAGACGCAGACGATGATCATCAGGAACGAGCTGAGCGGGAGCGGCACGCCGAAGAACACGTTCATGACCACCGGCCAGATCTCCGACCAGCTGCCCGCCGGGAGCAGGTAAGCGATCACCTTCTGCAGGTTCTGGAAGACCAGACGGCCCAGCCGGATGGCGTCGATGATCGAGTCGAAGCGGTCCATCAGCACGAGGTCCGCCGCCTCGATGGCCACGTCGCTGCCGGAGACCACCGCGATCCCGACGTCGGCCGCGCGCAGCGCGGGGGCATCGTTGACTCCGTCGCCCGTCACGGCCACCACGTTGTCCCGGGCCTTGAGCTCCTCGACGATGCGCAGTTTCTGCTCGGGCGTGGTGCGTGCGAAGACGACCTCCTCGTACTGGCAGATCGCGGCCCATTGGGCCTGGTGCAGCGCGGGGATCTGGGTCCCCTCCACCAGCAGGCTCCGTCTCGAGTGTTTCGCCGACGACGACGACGCCACCTCCTCGTCCTCACCACCGTCTGCAGACCACGCTTGCAGGTCGGAGACAGTGTCCGGCTCGGCCGTGCCAGTGAAAATGCCAATGTCTCGGGCGATGGCGGCCGCAGTCAAGCCGAAATCACCGGTGACCATGAAGAAGCGGATGCCGGCGCGGCGACAGGCGGCAACCGTGGCCGGGATCTCGGGGCGAGCAGGGTCGACGATGCCGAAGATGCCGACAATGGTGAGATCTTGCACTCCGCGGGCCAGGATCTCTTCGTTGAAGTCATTCGTGCCGACTGCCGCCGTGGGGATGTAGTCCTTCTGACACAGCACGATCACGCGCTGGGCGCGACGCGAGAGTTTCTGCTGAAAGGCCGAGAAGGATTCGCGGGCGGCGGCGTCCATGGGCTTGGGGAATCCGTCTCCGCACAGGTACGACGTACAATGCGGCACGAGAACATCGGGCGCCCCCTTGACATAGACCAGACAGCGCGTAGGGGACTGGGGAGTTTTGTGTACCGTGAGCATCCATTTGTTTTTCGAATTGAACGGGATCTGGTGGACGCGTTCGTACTCATGCAGGCCGGCACTGCCGTGCGGCCGCAGCGTCGCGACCCAGCGGAGCACAGCAGCGTCAGTGGCATTTCCATTCACCGTCCGCTCGTTGATGGGCAAGTCTTTGGTCTCTTGGTCGAAGAAAGCATCGTTGCACAGGGTGGATCCTTGCACTAGAGGCTCCAAGGCAGTTGGGATCGGAATCGACTTTTCCTGGCCGCTTTCCAGGGCCTCCATGTCAAACTCCTGGTCAACCAACCCCACAGACTGGACGAACATCTTGTTCTGGGTGAGAGTGCCCGTCTTGTCGGAGCATATGACATTGACGCAGCCCAGGGTCTCGACCGTAGCTAACCCTTTGGGTAGGATGTGGTTCGCCTTCATGCGTTTGGCCACAATCATCAGGGTGAGAGCGACACCCACCGGCATGCCTTCGGGGATGAAAGCCACCACACAGCCCATCACGTCGTTCAGCATTTCTACGACGTTCATGAAGCCGGGCTGGTCCACGCGAAGCCATCCCACCCAGGTGAAGAGAATCGCAGCCGCCAGAATGACAGTCAACACCACGATAATGCGCACGAAGCGGGAAATCTCTTTCTGGATGAGCGTGGGCTTCTCCTTGACGGTGGCGGTGATCGAGGCCAGCCGGCCCATCACCGATCGGCCGCCAGTCAGGACCACGACACCGACAGCATTGCCGTTGGTGACACTGGTGCCCATGAGGGCGATATTGCGCGTCTCGAGGAAGTTCTGGTCCGTGGCATCGGTCGCTCCCTCGACCTCGTCAGACTCCCCCGTGAGGATGGACCGGTCAAATCGCACATCGCCAGAGCTGCGAATGATGCGCAGGTCGGCGGGAACCTTGTTGCCAATGGAGATGTGGACCAGATCGCCCGCAACCAAGTCCGCGGCCGGCACTCGAACAAGATTTCCGTCCCGCATGACCATCGCATCGGAGGGCAGGAGCCCCAGGATGGAGTTCATGACCCGAGAGGTGGACCAATCCTGGAAGGCGGAGAAGGAGGCCTGCAAGGCAATGACGATGATGACCAGGATGGCCATGGCGAGGTTGGTTACCGACGGAGGATTGCTCAACGGCCGCCAGCAGAGGAAGAAGATGATCACACCGATCCACAGCACCGAGCAGAAGCCGCCAAAGACGTACCAGAAGACCTTCTTGAAGTAGTTCTCACCGTGGTGGGCGACGGCATTCTTGCCGTCCCGCTGCAGACGAGTCTGTGCTGCATCGGCGCTCAACCCTTGGTTGGCGTCGACATTGAATTGTTGGCATAGTGTCTCGGTGGACAGGAGATGAAAGTCCAAGCCTTCGAAGTAATCTTGATCCGGCTTCTTCTCCTTTTCTCCGCGAGCCTTGAGGACCTCCTGAGTTGCAGCCTGGGATTCGGATATCTGAAAGGAGATGGTACGGAATTCGATGGGAATGCCAGCCTCCGGAGATGATTGGGAAATGCTGCGGGCACTGCGGACGGTATCCCGGCTTCGAGACCGCGTCACATTGTAGATCGACCGGTTGTTGGTGGCGGGATGAGTCTCGTTGTCGAAGTTGATGGAGTGAAACTGCGTTGCTCGACTTCTGCCATTGGGGCTGTGGCCATCGGATTCCAAGTCCGACTCTAGGGAGGTCCGAGGCTTGTCATCCGAGGCAGCACCGCCTGCAGGAGAAGAGGACATGTCTGTGAGAGCCGAAGTAATGGGTTTGGGGCGATGCAAGGGAGGTATCACAAAGCACGTACAGCCAGCGTAGGTCAGGGCAGCACACACGTCTCACGTTTCAAGAGAGAGATAATGATGGGTTGGGTGGGTTATTGTGCAGTGATGGCAATGCAGACAACTGCAGTATTTATTTCCATCGGGGCAGCCATGACAGAAGCTTTTCGACATCGCCAAGAGCACCGTGATAATGAGGGCTAACCATGATGGCAAATGAAGAAGGGAAGACAGCTTCCACCGATTAGATTTTGCTCGCACTGTTCTCTCTTGCCTTCCTACTGTACCCTAAGAGTTCCCTAGCGAGTGGAGGAGAGGCTCCCCCGGAAATCCCTCATACCAAGCATGTGGATCTCCGATAGCCCTACTCTGGCTGGGGGTGGATCGCGGGTGTGTTTGTTCGTCCGACGACCCTTTTCCATATAACCTTGCGTAGGTTGGTCTGTGCTTCCTCCCTTCTGCACATTCCGGAGAAGCTTGGCATGTACGATCGTAGAATCACATAACTAGTACCTGAATTATAAGGCTGGGATGTATATGGCACGAAACTCCACGATTCAGCGGATAAAGCTTCCAAGCAAGTGTCCCAGAGCCTCAGCCTGATCCCTTCAAGGGTTTTTCGAGATCCTGAAGCAGTGTTGCCTTCACCGAGATAGAAGCCCTGAGGGAATTTCTCTGGCCAGTCAGTATGTGGAGCAGAGGATCGGTGCCTCTTTGGCAACCACCAGCCTACTCAATCGCTCAAACAAATCCCGCGTACAAAATCCCCCATCCGGCCAGATTGATGCGGCATTTGTTGTGGTTCGGATCCGAATAGGGCGGCCTTTCGATTTTTTGCTGGCAGCATCTCCGCCACGCTCGTCCAGCAGAGAGAGGGACCTTGGACGAGCCGCTGCAGGGATACTGCCGGGCTAAGGCGCCCGTCAGGCATCAACTTATAAGTGCCTTAGGCATCCAAGGTCCCAAAACATCTATGTAGTTTGAAGTAAAACCCCTCGAGGTCTTTTGTCTAATATTCACTTTTAGAGTAATCTGGGACTGCTTAGGAATATTTAGAATATGCCAGTTTATAGTCCTTCGGTCAGGCTCTGAATATTGCTTGAATTAGTAGTGGAAGGAACTAGCTACAGCTAAGTTAACTACTGTAGTGTTTATAGTTTCTCGCGTCATGTGACCCAGTACCGAGACCACACACACCGACATGTACTTCTGGCTACTAGCCAGTAGGCAACAAGAAGCGCTAATTTCAATCTATATGTACTGTGTAAAGTGGAAAGGGAAACTTGCTACTAGGTAAGTTCATTTCCGCAGCAATCCAGTTCATTCGTCTTCAAGTCCATAGATTGTGAATGTGACCATAAAGGCAAAGATCAACACCACCTTAACCCAAGCTGATCCATCGATGATGTCACAGCACATCTGCAGCAGCACGACTATTGGCTCGTGGGGGATAATTTCTCCCGCGGCTAAACTGCGATTGACAGGCACAGTCCGGTTTCTCTGCCCTTCTTGACACTTCCAACTCGCCTTTGCCTTGATTGTTGTCGACCAGGGCCCCATGTTCTGGAACGCTCGATGCGAGATGAGAGAGTATGTACCGCCTGTACCTGGTATGTATCTGTATGTCTGTACTGTGAATGACCGCCCCTCAAATCGCTGCATGCACTGGGTCAGTTCATCCTCAAGAATAATTTAGGAGAATACTTCCAACGAGTAGTTCGTCCCTGAGAGATCCATAATTGTTTAGGTGCTGGAGATACCCCCGGGTCAACGGGTGGGGTGGAGCGTAGACGGAGATGAGACCATGGGTCGCACTCTAGACTGTTTAGTCTACTGTAGTTACAGACTTGGAACTGCTGATGCTGGCTTACTACAACAGTAACATTAGTTACTGTCTGTACCTATTCATTCATTCACCCCTCCATCCTCCATCCTTCATCTTCCCTGCTCCCCAGTTCCCTCTTTTCTTCCCCCTCTCCTCAGACATCCTACATACATTATTCGTACAACACAACAAAACACCTCCCTGCAGCTTTGCTGGCTGGCTGGTAACTCATCCCACCAATCGCCGGCCAATTTTCATCTTTGTTTCCATCACTTCTGCGCCGATAGAAGAGTCCGGAAGCGTCTAAGCAGCCCCTCGAGAGCGCCACAGACGTGACCGAACAGGCCGAGGCACTCCCTTAACACTAGCGGCCGATCGAGATGCACCTTTGTCAAGCTGTCATACAACCGCCCTGACGATAAAACCTCTTCCCCCTTGAACCTCGCCACTGACATTATTCTTCGTTCATTGCGCTGTATTTGCATCATCATCATCACCATCAGTATTCCAGTATCCATCCTCCATCAACAGACCTCATCATCGTCTCCATCCGTACAGTGCTCTTGCAGTACACATACTACCCTTCCCCGATCGGATCTACCAAACCCACGGTCATGGCCGAGTTCATTCGCTCGCAGATCCTGGGAACCACCTTCGAAACCACAAACAGGTAAGAATCCCCGCCGATGTTTTTCTAGAAACCTGGTAGTAGTACCCAGTAGTTGGACGAACCGCTCCCCCGCAAGCTAAACTTTTTAATTTCTCTAGATATGCGGACCTTCAACCGGTCGGACTTGGGGCCTTTGGGCTTGTCTGGTATTGGCTCCTCTGTTCCCATACGTTCCTATAGTATCCTGCTGGTAAGAAGCAAAAAAGGGAATGGGGCACATGGGCTGACCCAAAAATAAATCCTGCAGCTCCGCAAACGATCTCATCGCCCGCCAACCAGTGGCCATCAAGAAGATGATGAAGCCCTTCTCGAACCCCACGATCGCTAAGCGCACGTATCGGGAAGTCAAGCTGCTCAAGCATTTACGTCATGAAAATGTATGCTGGTGTTCCGGATCTTCCTTCCCTTCTTTGCTTTCGCAGGCTAACGCGTTGCCACACAAGCTCATTGGCCTGAGTGATATCTTCATCTCCCCGTCCGAGGACGTGTAAGTGGGACCCCGAAACTCACATCACCACGTGGGAACAGATCAATGTGGAGATACTGACAGGGACGATCAGGTACCTTGTCACCGAGCTTCTGGGGACTGATCTGAATCGACTCCTCACTTCCAAGCCCCTCGATGGAAAGTTTGTACAGTACTTCACGTATCAGCTTCTGGTAAATATCCTCGGGTTGTGCTGCATCTTACTCATGCTAATGAAGACTAGCGGGGACTAAAATACATTCATTCGGCTGGGGTCATCCATCGAGATCTCAAGCCTAGTAATCTCCTGATCAACGAGAACTGTGACTTGAAGATCTGTGACTTCGGCCTGGCTCGAGTGCAAGAGCCCCAGATGACGGGCTATGTGTCCACGAGATACTACAGAGCGCCGGAGATCATGTTGACTTGGCAGAGATACGGTAAACAGGTCGACATTTGGAGTGCCGGCTGCATTGTTGCTGAGATGCTGCGTGGAAAGCCCTTGTTCCCCGGCAAGGACCACATCAACCAGTTCTTCCTGATCACGGAAGCGCTGGGAAGCCCACCGGATGAAGTGATCCAGAGGATCAGCACGAAGACAGTAAGCTAGTCGAGTGACCAAGGTTTGGCCCAAGCTCTAACATCTGCCAGACTTTGCAGATCGTCCAGTCACTGGGCAAACGCAAACCTCCTGTGTGGGCATCCCTGTTTCCCGGAGCCGATGCGCAAGGTGAGTCCACCAGTAGACAAACCTCAGGGACCTGAGATCTAACAAGTTGTGAATAGCCGTTGATTTGCTTTCCAAAATGCTCGTGATCGATCCCGACAAACGCATATCCGCTGAGGAGGCTTTAGAACATCCATACCTAGCTGTTTATCACGACCCTAATGACGAACCGGTCGCAGAGACGATGTTTGACTGGTCATTCCAGGATGCCATCCATTCCATCGATGAGTGGAAGATTATGATGTATGTTCAAAGGTTATCTGCGGCGTACCTTGGACCGACTGACATGAACCATAGATACTCCGAGGTGGTTGATTTCCACGACCTTGGTCCAACGGGACAGCCTACTGTCGACCCAGGCGCATCTGCTGATCTGGCATTTGGTATTGATGGTGCAGCTGGTCTAGGCCCCCAGCCAGTTGATGGCATATACCAGACTGCTGTCGACAATATCGACCAAGACATCCTGCAATACCTGCAGATTTAGCCCATGCCATCTATCGGTTCATTCACATGAAAGCGAAAAGCAAGGAAAAGAAGGTACAGGTAGTATCTATCACAGCACTGTGCGCAGATATTCCTGGAGCAGGTGACATCATGACACACATGCTCCTTCCAAAAATACTCACCTCCGATCGTAAGGAGGTCAACTAACCCCGCCCCTTGCCCCATTTGCTTTTCGATCACATGAACCTCGAACCACATTTACCTACCTATTCCAAGAGCCATAAACCCATCGCTGCCCCATCCCTCTAGGCTGTTCATACACTCGGCATAGCCGCAGCGTGAAATGCCTACATTGCTGCACCCTCCGACGTGAGCTACCTTCCTTCTAGCATCTATCCACCTACCTCGAAACCATCGCAGCATTGCATACGCAAATTACCTATCAACCCATAAGCTCCTCTCACATCCACTACCTTCGACAATCTCACGGTCTACAATCCAGACTCTACAATGAAGGAAATACTTGCAATCTGGTCAATCATAATCAGCCTCTGCCATATCACCTACGCATTCCCATCACTCAAAGGATCCACAATCAATCCGACAACTGCCTGGCAGATCTCACTGTACCAAAACAAACGATGCACCGGCCAGACCACATACTTCTCTGGAAACACCAGTCTACCATGTCACGATGCCATTCTCAACGGCGGTGCATTGGGATACATAGTGCAAATCGCCAACGGCTCAAACTGTTCGGTTGCGTTTTCCAGCGATACCCAGTGCAGCCAGATCAATAGCACCACCGTCCATCTCAATTCGACGGCGTCGACATGCCAAGTTATGAGGATCCAGGATCAAGAGATGCAAATCCGGCGGTTTTCTGTCAACTGTGGGAGCAATCGGACAAGGTTTCGTTTTCATGACCGTGTATGAAGTTTCTTGATGCAGCGTTGCGCCGTCGTTCTTTGTAGCTATTCTTAATGCAGTGGGAATGAGATAACATCTTTCTTCATGAACGCTGATGCTTGAGCCATTTGAACTTATCGTACTTCTATGCAATATCCTACAGTTGATGGCTAACCGGGTTAGACATACGGGTATACTACCGAGCATATGCATGCGAGATCAAAAACCGCGATCGAACATTCTCTAATATACACATATAACAACTAGTCAAGACACCGTCCCACTGTTATCCGCGCAAGAAAACACCCCATCCACGCTTCCATCTCTATACGCCTCCTGAATCTGTACCACAACACCATATGTTCCCCCGACCATCATGAACAGCCCCAGCAGCACCAATCCAACATGCACTGCAATCAAGACCACTCTCGTCCACCTCTTGTGCCACGATTGCCCATCCTCCCCGCCCCAGTCCCCTCGACCATGGTAAACATTCACATACAACCAACAGATCCCGGGCAAACTGATTGCCAATGGCGCGAACCCTAACGCCCCGACCAAAGCTAACACATATGTGAATACCGGAATGGCACTAGCCAGTACCCATGCTATGGCCGCCATACCCACAACGCATGCTAACCACGTACCCCAGTGCACAGGGGTGTTAGCCTGGAGGTGCCGTCTTCGCTGCGGGGAGCCGCGCAGCACCCGGACGAAGAGATACTTAGCCGCGACGTGGACGTACAGTGCTCCGCTGACCAGCAATCCCGGAAGAGCGATGCCATACGCCACCCGCTTGAGGACGGGACCTGCACTGCCCAGCGCCGGCGAGGCGACCCATTTCCCGCAGTAGTGATACAGGACCAGGCTGAAGGTCAGGTAGCTGGCGGTGACGAAGCTCATGCACAGAGCGACGGCTTTCCGGTAGGCCCGGGCGGTGGGCGGGCGCATCTCCGCGATGACGGGGAGAAATGCTGAGGTCGCCGATGAGGAGACGAAGATGGTCGATGAGGCGGTTATGCCGGCGGCGAAGGTCGGGTGGCCGACTAGGTGGTAACCCAGGTCGAAGGGGCCTTCCTGAGGCGCCGCTGACGGTCGGTCGAGGGTGGTTACTCCAATGCTTTTTTCGAATGTGTTAGTTAATTTGTGAAATGAGCTGGGCGTGGTCTAGAAGGAAAGAGGAAGGGGAAAGCCCTACACGATGATGAATACCGCGGCGAGGATACTGAAAAACCCGACCCAGGTCAACCACCCGATGTGGGAGAACTTCCGCACACTAGCACAGAGGGCGATGATGACGGTGGCAATTACAGAGAACCACACCGTGCACAGCGAGTGCAGTGACAGCGCGTTGAAGGCCGCCGATACCCCGATCACCCCTGAGGCTGCCGTGATCACATAGGTCATGACGAACAAGAACCCTACCACCTCTCGGAAGATCGGACCCCCCATCAACTGCGCCATGTCGGCGACCGTGTGGCATTGTGGATAGCGTTCTCGGAAATCACCGAGCACGAGGGCGCCGTACGTGTTGAGAGCGCACCAGCCGAGCACGTTGAGGGCCCCGGGGACGGCGCCTAGGTCGTACATGACCGAGGGAATCGAGAGGATGCCGGTCGCGAAGAGCACTGTGTGTCAACTCTTGGTTATTGAGTGATCTCGATGGATGTTTGGGGTAAGGGGGAACGAACTTTTCAGAAAAATGGCTGATGCCCGTATCCAGCTCACGGTCCGAAAGTCCACTTGGCCTTCGCTTTGTTGGAAGACTTCTTCAAGCCCGTCATTATTGGATTTAATGTGCTCGGTGTCTGCGACGGCAATGTCTTCACCAGGCATCGCTGGTGAAATTTTGATGTCTTTGCCCTCGTTTGTCATCGTGGTTGAATCTCAACTGATGTGAACAACAAGGGGGGGGGAACGCCCCTTTCAATGCGGTGGGGGGTCGATCATTCTTATACGAGCATGAAGAGTGCGGGATCAAGCTGCAGGAAGCTGCAGGGCTGGCATGGTATATCTTGCAATAATTGATCATCCTTGATGATAGCCCTGTCCGATTCGGTAGTGATTGATGGCTTCACTCATACCTAATGATGGAGGTCGCGATAACAAACGGCTCACTATCTCCTCAGTTGGAGTAATGTTATCAATTTGGAGTAAGTGACATCCCTGCCATATCGATTATGCAAGGTGATTGATAGGGAATTGGGGTAGTGCTTGATATCAATGTACTGCTATAGCAGCAGTGTGAATCAGTGCTGGCATGCATGTTCAAGGAGTTGTTGAGCCGGTCAAACAGTTTGGGTAAATCAGGTAACTTATGACCCCTCTTTAGCTTTAGCTTCCGCACCAGATGGAATTCCGAAGCTTGTGGGCAACAATCGGAACGGCCCAGGATGTCTTGCCAGGAACACATGTCACATCTACTTTAGTGCTGTACAGTGTATTCCCAATCTACAAGAAAGCCTATCGTTGGGTCAAGCTTTCGCTGACAATGATCAATTGCGCGCCAATTGTCTATCAGCAACCTGGTTGGAGTCCTCTTACCCCAACCGCGATAAGGCCCTGTGGCTTGGCAGTTGGAGCAATCTTCTGCTTCTTCCAACGGTTTCCCCGCCTCGAATGAATTATATTCCTCGTTTAACATGACTGCAGGGGTCAAGCAAGATTGTGATCTGTTGTTGTTGGACTGCGTTGCTTGCGAGAAAGCTTACTGAGATCACCTCTCACCATGTCGGTTCTATTCACCTCCATCTCGCCGTACGTACATCACCGAACCACCATCTAACCTCGGACTTCGCTTGCTGAAAAGACCAAACAGAGATAACCCGGTGAAAAAGGAAGATGCCAACCAGCTTCTCCAGAGACTCGGTCTCGCCGTCAGCCCAGAGGAGGAGGACGACTTTCACACGCTCCTGGCCGCCGTGCACGACTGTGCAGAAACGGTCTCCAACCTCCAGGATTACCAGCCCGTCCCCGATCTCGAACGATACCCTCGACAGAACGTTCGAAGACCTTCTTCGAAAGAGCAGGTCTTCGGCCAGGCTTGGGCACATAAGTTCTTGATTAAAGGCAACCCCGATGGAGGGCCCTTGGCCGGCAAAACCATCAGTTTGAAAGACACGATTGCGGTCGCAGGCGTGCCCCAGCTGCTTGGAAGCGATATCATCCCCTCCTGGACCCCTGTCACGGACGCCACGGTGGTGACTCGGGTACTGGCTGCGGGGGCTGATATCCATGGAACGTCGACCTGCGAGAATTATTGCCACTCGACCTCGTCGTACACGAGTGCGCAGGGGATCGTCGAGAACCCTTGTGCCGAGGGTTATTCGTCGGGTGGGAGCACCTCGGGCGGGGCGGCGCTGGTCGCAGCCGGGCTAGTCGACATCACTATCGGTGGAGATCAGGGGGGCAGTATTCGTGTGCCCTCGTCTTTCTGTGGCTGTACGTGTATTCAGTCATGGGCTTCTGAACTTCTATTGATGTTGTGCTGACCTGCGATACAGGCGTGGGACTTAAACCGACATACGGCCTTATTCCGTACACCGGCATCGCCAGCGGAGACGCGATCAACGACCACGCCGGCCCTATTGCTCGAAGCACGCTGGATGTCGCCTTGTGTCTGGACACAATCAGCGGCTATGACGGAATCGACGACCGATGCCTGGGCAGCCCGCAGCCCGGCTCGACCGCCTACGCGACAGCGCTACAGACCGAAGAAACCGGGGGGCGCCTCGACGGCGTCCGCGTGGGATACCTGAAGGAAGGGTTTGAGCACGCCACCGTCGACCCCGCAGTCAAACAAGTCGTGATGAACGCCGTCCAGAAGCTGGCGGAGCTGGGCGCGGTCGTCGAGGAGGTGTCGGTGCCGGACCACTACCACGGCCCGGCTATCTGGACCATCCAGCAGCGGATCTCAGGCTCAATGACGCTGCTGGGCCAGGCGCACGGCCGGCGCGGCCTGCATCTGACCGAGATGGAGCGCGAGCGGCTCCCCTGGACGCCCGAGGGCTTCCGGCGCGCGTTCCCCAGCACCAAGAACGTGATCATCAACGGCCTGTATCTCACGTCCCAGTTCCCCGATCTGTATGGCAAGACGGTCAACATCGGTCGACGGCTGCGGGACCGCTACGAGGACGTTTTCGGTCGATATGATGTCGTGGTGATGCCGACCACGCCGATTGTCGCCCCCCGCCATGGCTCCCCGCGCGACCTGCCGGTCGAGGCGCTCCGGCCTAGCATGGGCCTCACGATCAATACGGCGATCTTCGATGTCACGGGCCATCCTGCTATGTCGATACCAGTGGGTCGTGCGGCTGCTAAGGATAATTCTGAGGTTCAGTTGCCGGTGGGGATGCAGATTGTCGGCGGGCTGTGGCAGGAAGCTAAGGTGCTTCGGGTGGGGCATGCTTGGGAGCAGCATTTCAATTGGAAGAGTCAAGGGGAAACGAGGTGATGTTGATGAACCATTCTAAAACAAAATCGCAAGTACAGTACATATTTCATCAAGTCATATCATCATTGGACATAACATAACATTTCATGACCTCGATTTCGTCATATTACTGCCGTCCCACCACGAGTAGCAACAGGTTCGTTAATCGTTATTGGGTATAGCTTTTAGCTTTCAGCCTTTCACGACTTTTAGTTGATAATATACCCTCCATCTACCACAAGCGCATGTCCCTGTACGAAGGACGCAAAGGTCGAGCAGAGGAAGAGCACTGCATCAGCCACCTCCTCGGGCTTGCCCATCCGCTTCATGGGCGCGATGTCGACGGCCGGCCGGAGTCGTTCCCGGACTTCCTCGCTGGTTGTGGTCATGGGAGTCTCGATCACGCCGGGACACACGCAGTTGACCCTGATCCCCTCTTGCGCGTAGTCAATGGCGTCAGAACGGGTCATCGCGATAATGGCCGCCTTGGAAGCACAGTACGCCGCTGCAATCCCCCATTCAAAGGAATAGAATTAGCGTTCCATCACGCAACAACTCCGCGCTTTCAAAATTGGGCGGGGGGAAGGAAGAACTTACGCGCCCCAGGACGTCCCACGATGCCCAGCTGGCTGGCAATATTGACGACCGCCCCGCGCGGGCCCTCGCGCGCCGCCGCCGCCGCCGGATCATCCTGGCCGGGCAGGGGGTCCTGCGCGATCATCTGTCTCAGCTCCGCGCGCGAACACAGCCACGAACCCCGGTAGTTGATGTTGGTGATGCGGTCGAAGATCTCGGGCGAGGTCTCGGTCGAGCGCAGCGCCTCGCCTAGTACGCCGGCGCAATTGACTGCGTAGTCGAGGCGGCCGAACTCCGATACCACGGCGCCGATGAAGGATTCCACGAAGTTTTCGTTGGAGATGTCGCCGGCTTGGGCGAGGAGGCGGACGTTGGGGGATGTCGCGAGAATGGCTTCTTGGGTGTCGTTCAGCGAGCTCGGGTTCAGGTCCGTGATGGCGATGCGAGCGCATCCCGCGGCGGCGAAGCTCTTTGCGACGGCTGCGCCGATGCCTGTGGGAAATTGGGTAAGCTGGCCTGTAGGGAGGATCCTTGGGGGGAGGTGTTCTGTTTACCAGTTCCGCCGGCTCCGGTGATGACGGCGACACCGGGGAAGGTATATGTTCGTGGCATGGTTGGTTGAGTGACCGGCGATACAAATAGCACGGTTCGAAGAGTGTGGCGGGGTAAGTGAGGGAGTGAGTGAGTGAGTGAGCCGTGAGACGATGTAGCAATTTGTTTATGGTCCCCCTCGTCCCCTCGGTATCACCCTGACATCATCTTTATACTCCCTATGGTACAGTACATGGTAGATCGAATGGGAGGGCAGTTGGAGTCTTCTTCCCTGTCGAGTCTTATCGCCGACCCCTCGGTGGGGACGAAAGTGGCGGCGTTGGGGGAAGCGGCGGGTTCGGCAATCGTTGGAGTCGGTCGCTTTGCCTCTTGCGGTTGGATTTTCTCCTCTTTTTGCGAGTCTCGCACTCCTTCCCCCTCCATCTTTTCGCTGCTCGCCCTGCCTTTCTGCTGCTCGCCCGTGCTTCTCCAATTTCCCAAATTGGAGAGCTAGCTCTGGTAATCTCATTACTCGGGCGTACACATCACATCCAACTCGCGCGCCTCCAAATGTCTTGATGCAGTCTCAGCCTCCCTCACAGCCAGTTCGGGGCAATCGTCGCTCGACTGCTGGTGCCAAATCTCGGATCTGCGTCCATTGTGGCCGCAGCTTCCGCCGTACCGAGCATTTGGAGCGCCACGTTCGCACTCGTATGTTGTGCCCTTTGCTTTGTGCTTCCCCTCTGCCTCAATTGCAATTGTGATCGCATGTGCAATTGCTGAAAATGCGACACGTCTTAGCGTCGAAAGCCCTGCAAGGATCGTGGTGTTGCATAATGGCTAACCCCCAATCTTATCCGCCGTGCAGATACCAAAGAAAAACCGTATATCTGCTTTTGTGGGGCAGCCTTCACTCGCCGGGATTTGTTGAAGCGACACACCAACATTGCGCATCCTGGCAATGGCTTGGTATCGCCCAATTCACAGCCTGAGACGGAGAGTGTAGAACCACAACCTCACCCGCGAGCATCCGAGCCCGCCACAGTACCACCAGCACCAGTACCAGTTCCAGTTTCAGTTCCAGCTGCAGCTGCAGCTGCAGCGCCGCCAGGGTTCATCGTCCCGCCGCCGACATCGCGCCCGGACGCACCTCTCTCAGTGCCCCCGAATGTGGAACAATGGACCGGACCTCCACCACCGCCACCTCAACAACCTCCACGGGAGTCATATATCACGCCAGATCGAGCGCCCGTGCTCCAGCCTGTGAACCACGCTCCTCCAAGTATACCGCCGCACAGCGGCGTGCTTGGTCACGATGCGGAGGTTCTCGAGGCGGCCCAGCTCTTGCTTCCTGGAAATTACCGACATACTCCAGCTCCAGGTAAGGACTCGCCGTCCGGGGAACCAGCTTCACGGAGTCTGATATTAATTGAGAACTAGCCCAACCCATGTCATACCTTCCGGAAGAATTGAACCACTTCCAAGACTTCACCCATTTCCTCGACTCCATTGGACTGCCATCCGAATGGGTCCCCGCTTTTGGAGAAGTGCCTCAGATGCACAATCCAGTGCCGGCAACTACTGTTCCAGACATTGAACGGAACCATACTCTCCAACAGGATGCTCCGCGTCGGAGTATCCCTGAGAGGTCTTCTCGGGGAGATTCGCCCTTCCGATCATGGCTTCCATCGGTGCCGCCTGAAGATCAGAGCCTTGGCTCGGTTCACGATTATGGTATGTCATCGATTCGCGGGCAGGTACGCGAGCTGTGATACTGACGTGAATCCTCAGAGCCCCCGCAGAGTGCCAGGAGTAGTTCTTCCTTGAAGGTGACAGAGGAGCAGAGACAGCGTTTGGCTGCTGCGCTCGAGGAGTTTCGCTATCTGATCCCAGATTTCGTCCTGCCATCGCGCCATACACTGACCAGATATCTGACGTCGTTCTTTGACGGCTTCCATACACATCTACCTTTCATGCATGCTCCGACGTTCCGGATTAATGACCGTGCGCCGGAACTCGTGCTGGCTTTCATGACCCTCGGCGCCCAGTACCGGTTCGAACACCGCAATGCAGAACGGCTCTTTCATGCTTCCAAGGAGATTGTACTCTGCAGACTCTCGAAAGAGTCCCATGGAGTGCCATATAACACCATCGTTCAAATCCCCTTGAATCACATCCGCGATCCTGCACTGCCAAGCCAGGCATCCCCTCTCCCACCTGCCGAGTTCGCTACAGGAATGAGTGCGTGGAGGCAACTCGAAACCATTCGCACTTTGCTAGCCCTCATGGGATACTCCACTTGGGAGAAGGCTGAGCTCGTTCAGGAGGCATTCGGCCTGCAGAATCTGCTTGTCCGATGTCTTCGGGAATTTGGTCTGGCAGAGAACATCATCGCTGCTCCAAGACACGGCCCATTGCAATGGCACGAGTGGGCCGAGGAGGAATCCATCCGACGCACTCGCTTTATCTCCTTCTGTTTTGTTCACATCCATAGCATAGCCTATAACATCTACCCGGTACTGCGCAGCAGTGAGGTTCACTTGCGCCTCCCGTGTTCTACCAAAGAATGGAACGCAGCGACGGCTCACGAATGGGAAGCTGCACAGAAGGAAGTCGGCTCCCAGCAGCTGTTCTTCCAGGACGCACTGGCCTTGTTGCTGCAACCAGCACGACATCCAGTGCCGCTGGAGCCGATTCCCGCGCCCCTCGGCAACTACATCCTTCTTCACGGGCTTCTTCAACGCATACACCTCGTAAGCGAGCTCTCCATACCAAATGGGGACCATTCATTTTCTCTCCCAACAGAGGAATTGAACAAACTCGAGTACGTTCATGATCTGCATCTTAGATGACATTGAGAGGCCCGAAGTTCATATCAGGTTTACTGACCGCGAATCTCGTCACAGGAGAGCTCTACGAACTTGGACATCAGTTTGGCAACAAGCACCCGAATCGAGCCTCGACCCTCATAACGAGAACGGTCCCATCCCTTTCACATCTAGCTCATTTCTAGGTCTAGCGTACGTTCGCTTGTCGCTGAACTTAGGGGCTTATCGTCAACTCGAAACGCGAGATCCATATCGCATCGCTGCGGCGCTGCATCGATCGCCTCGCCCTAGCCGGAGCTACCAATTAACACCTGCGCTCATCTATGCGGCACACGCCTTGAGCGTGCCAGTACGACTGGGCATTGACCACGTGGCCCGCAGTCAAGCTTTCTTCTGGAGCGTTCGTCATTCAATTGCCAGCCTTGAATGTGCGGTCTTGCTCAGCAAATGGCTGCTGTCGCTGGCGGAAACCGGCGGCACTCAGAGTTTGAGCAGTACGGGCCCAGCTATAACCCAGAATAATCTTCTACCTTACGTGTACTGACATCCCAACTCAAATAGGTAACGAAAGCCGCATACTGCATTGGACACGCTGTATCGTCCAAGAGGCTTATGATTCCTTGGACCCAGATAAAGACGAGACTTTTCCGGGTCTTGACCCTACCAGTCTTGGCCTGGCAGTCATACAGCTGTGGGCTCGTCTGTTTCGGAAGAATACACAGTGGCCCTTCATCAATGTGATGGGCGAGAGCTTGGAGCAATACTTGGACCTGATTCGACCGGAGTAATTGCTTGCATAGGATTTTGAACGGATCCGACGGAAGATTAATACCATCCCCAATACAATTGAGCGCGAGCGCAGATTCCAGAGATAGCATTGACACCGGAACCAGCGTTTCCTGTTCACATGAAGAATGGTGTCTCGGTGAATAAGTTGTGCACTACCTTCAATGTGGGCATCTACATTATGAGACTAGTTCTAGAAAATACTCCTCAGTGCCGGAAGTACCGGTATACATATCCTGACTCCTCTAATAGGAAGAATGGACAGCTCGGCTTGCCCAGAACTTGACTACCGGATGATCTCATACAGTTGTACAGAACCGGCCGGAGGCAAATGAATATATCAGAAATGAAGTCATGTCAACGAAAACTTCCCTTCGTCGAAGAGGGGTACTAGTTCCTCCAGGCATAAATCACCTTCCGCCGGAGCTACTCGGAATTAATAGACAAGAGGATAATTCCGGACCTAGGCAGCAAAAGTGCTTGGTCTTGGTCTTGGTCTTAACTTTAGTTCACAAAAGTCGGAGTGCTAATAATTAAGAAATAAGATTACAGGAATAGGCCACAGATATTGCCGTTCCACCCAATCACTATCCAAACTTTCTCGTTCTACGATCATCGCCATAATCCGATATATCGGTGATCCCTGGGGATAGCATTGACTTAGGCGAAGTTGATCGGATGTAGTACCTTCCAGTTGCTTAGAAGAGAGATCTCTTTGCCCAACTGGGAGAAGGAGTCGCTGAAGCGGAAAGCGAAGCCGAGCTCGCAGCCGCAGCGCTGGCAGACACGTTGGGAGCCAGGGTGGCGCCGAGGGGACCGATGAACAAGGTCTGGCCGCAGGGTGCGGGAGGCGCTGAGACACAGCTGCCGAGGTAGCGGCCCAAGTTGCCCTTCTGGCTACCGGAGGACAGCACATAGGCCGGGCTGTAGGCGGGGACCAAACCGGAGCTGTTGGCTGGGAAGAGGATGTCCTCCTGGTTGCTGGCCAGGTAGTAGGCGTGCGCGGTGTGCTCAGCTGCCAGACGGGCCCACAGGAAGGACACCTCAGGAGCCTGGGTGTAGCCAGCCAGAGCGATGTAAGCGCCGGCGACGGTCGATTCGAGGGTCAAAGCATTCTCGACAAAGCTCTCGGCGCTGCTGGCATTGGGGAAGGTGAAGCTGCAGTTGGGAGCCGTGAAGCCGGAAATCCTAGACCCGAGCTGCTGGGCGGCACGCGTCCCCAGGCGGTTCAGGCGCTGAATCCCCTGGAAGTTGGGGTAGTACTCGGCGTCGGAGTCGTTGGTTGCGCTCTGCAGGAAGGTCTGGTTGAGCGGGACCTGGTTGTAGTAGCGGTCCAGGAAGTACGAGAGCGCCCAGCCGTACTCGACGACCTTAGCATCCGAGGAAGAGGGCGAGCAGCTCGAGTTGCTCTGTGCCAGAGCTACTCCGGCGAGGAGCAGCTGGCCAATAGTCGCGATGAAGCGCATGGTTCGATGGGTGTATGCTGTGGGGGAGGAAGGTCTTTTTCTGCCGATCTGTTCTGAGCTCGAGCAGTGTGGGAGCGAAGGGTGGATGCCTGGTAGAAAGAGGGATTCCCCCGTGAGATATACTTATATGTGGTCGGTGGGTAGCTGCGCGGTTCCGCCAGCGAAACAAGGTTTCCAGCACCGTTCGCCGAAGTCTCGAATGTCGTCAAAGCCCGCAAGCAGATGCAACGATATGATGATGAGTGTGGAACCCTCATGCCTCCGAGCATGCACGACGCGCGGTCATCCAAGCATCGAGGCGGAATGGGCTTCCCTCCACTGGATTTGCATCATGACATTTCCCGTTTCCCCGCCGCCGGGCATTTCCGTAAGGGGAGTGGAGGTTTGGGCGGGGTGGGTATCTCAACATCATCTGGCCTGGTTTAGAGGTGGTGATAGGGGGGAAACGGCGGCGAAATTCCCAACCAGCCCCCGTGCTCTAGCGAACTGGTGTTCTTCCAGGGTTCGACGGGAGGTTGTCAAAGTTTGTCTTTGGACTTGTGGTTGGGTGTGAGATCATCGAAAGAACATCTATAGGATTGACCGTAATAAATGAAAAGATTTCACCGGACCCTAACGGAAGTAGGAACCATCCGGGAGATATGCTGCTGTCAGAATGGGAGTTTTGCACGGTGGATGGTGATATCATCCGTCCGGAACGGATGGGAAAGGTCGAAGTCGAGAGCGTAATCGCACTGTTGCCGTGCAGTACTGTGCATTCTAGGCTGAGAGATTGTTTGGTGGGGGCAGTGCCCGCCCCTGCACGTCTCCCTCTTACTTTTTGGTTGCACGATAGTCACTGTATTGGAGTGAGAGTGGTAGAACAGCAGCGTTGATAGTGCAGGATCTGCAGCTCCTGTCAGTCTGCGTGATCGTCTACCTGAGCCCTGGGCTCCATATCCTTCCGGATCGTCCGGGGGGGGGGATTTTAGGTCTGCAGAGGAGAGTTTAAGGTGTCTGCGCTAGGCTGGTTCGGGTTAGGGTGATATCCTTGGGGATTCATGCCCCCCGGGGGGGAAGGAGGAAAGTCACGTGCTTACGGGGGCTCGATGTCATTTTCCACCAGATTGAGCTAACCTTAATGGTCTTCAGAAAGCTGAGTTCCGAGCCTGGAGCCTGGCATACCACGATTGCCCAAAGAGGTAGATCCTGTACCACACGTCAGGTAGACTCACCTAGCAAAGGGCTAGCGATATTCCACGTTGCTAGCACAAAATAATCCGAAGGCATTCGCGAGCTTTATTTTGTGTATAGAAGTTGAAGCTTACACCGCACTTCCTCGAAAATAAGCATTCTAGAAGTTGACGGCGAAGGTTTCTTGAGATGTTGCTCTACTGTGCCTCTTGTGCGGAATTTGGTTTTTCTGATGGGACCGGCCTCTTTCACCAGCGTGTAGAAGTTCCTACATTATATAGAAAAGTTGTCGCTGGGGCTATGCAGTACTATAAGTTGGACCTGGTTCAATCTGGTTGTATAACACGGCTGGCTTAGTTTTATCTTCTTCCTCTATGTATCCATTGTGTTAGGGCTGCAGTCACAAGCGGGATTGGATAACTTTACATAAAATAAGAAGGATTCGGGCTGGATGGGCTTTTTCTATTGCCAGTTCATACCTTAACCCATAGACTGTACTACAAATATTTTAGAAACCTCTAAGATCGGTATATCTTCGCTTGACTAGATACCTATCATATATATAGGGGAAAGATCGCTTGTTGTTAGAGAACTACTTTGGTAGGCGGTTTAGCTGCTGGAGAAGGTTTACGATAACGGTGCACTAAGGTTTTTAAGTTGAAGGACGATTGATATCAAGTTTGATACTATAAGTGGGGTCTAAGTTCAGAATATTAAAGGATTAAAGAAGCTGTGGTTGTCTGCAACCGCAGGCTCGACTTGAAAAGGCTATAATAGGATTGTACACTTGTCTTTAAACAGGGCTTTATGGATCAGAGCCTGGTAGAGGGCTCTGACATTGCAAATTTATTTCATGCTTCTACAAGTGTTATTGCGTGACGTCCTCCCGTGTTCTTGCTCTGTACATATGGTGAGATACTTCAACAACACCACCATCCAACCCACTAATTGAAATCTCCATCTTCAATGTATCCCAGTCTCCGCGCTCGACATCGATTTCTCAATAAATACGCGAACCACCTTGCGTTGCTGCCGGGAATCTTTGATGAAACTGATGGACAAGGGCACCTTTTCAGACCGTGTGGATCAAAGAAGACCCTGTCGGTCATTTTGGTGCGTACTGACAAAGAGGCACGCACCCATTTGCAAATGTCCTTTGTGTGTGCGAATGATCTGGGCTAGGTTTGGCGAGAGCAGATATCACAGCCAATTCGTACATTGGCATTCTTTTCATGTTCCTGGAAATAGGCGTGTGTAGCTCTCTGATTGTTTCTCTAAGTAGTCATAAAAGCAATTTCTCAATTGCGCGCTGTAGTATTGTTGTTGACAGCACAATCCTAGGCATTCCAACAATATTTTCTGAGTTTGCATAACTCTGGAAGAAGTCTATAACTGATATTTAGAATAGTATACCAGCTCCATTAGATACAGTTGTAAGTGGAAGTAGGAGACTGTAAGTCCTGTTGGTACAGGGTTCGGCGCGCAGTACGGAGTACTGCACATGATCCAGGTTAGTCTTCAGACTAGTTAAATGAATATACAGCTGTTACTATCAACATCTTATTTCGGAATCTGTGACCAGTGCTCAGGCTGTGAGGTCTTGGAGAACTAATCCTATCTACACTTGGCGCGCTTCTGCGGTCATTACCTAGAGTGCAAGCGTGATCCCAGCAAGAGTTTTGTCTTTGTTTATAACACTAACATTCTACCTCCTGTACAAAGGAGTATCTGATAAGACACCGCTAAATGCTGCGAGTTGCAGGTAAGATCACAGCAAGTGCATTCATTCTCTGCCTCCTTCCCGTTACTCGTCACTTAATTACTACTTACTTGCAATGTCTTTGTAGACAAAATGTTTCGACGGATCAGCTATGTAAGGGTTATCCATTTATCCTTACTTGTTCTCTACGTCCATGCACCCCAATTGTATCTTTTCCCGTGCGGATTGTCTTGCGCGCAAACAAATCCAGACTCAAGGCTTCCCGCTATCTTTGTAGTGTTCTTAGCTATTCGACAATGCTACGGCAAGCATGGAACAGTGTGATGGAAGCGATCACAGGCCGGGGTTCCAAGGTCTGGGAGAAACTTGCCAGACCGACCGTCGGGAGAGGCAAGACTCAGTGGCCGAAGTCGGCAAGTGATTTGGAGAACCACGGTGTCCGCTTGGACTACGATGGCACCATCGAGAAGAACGGCTCGGTGTACCACAAGTACCAGGTGCAGCCCAATGCTGGGAAGATTCTCAGTTCGTGGAAAGACTGGAGAGATAGAAATGGGGGCACTCATGCCGTCATCGGGACGGTGAAAGTCAAGCAGGATGCGACGAGGGACGATGTTGATGAGGCGCTGAGATCCCTGGGGGAACAGCTTTGATGGAAGGCACTGTGAGTTGGTATCCTTTGCCCTAAGCCGACCCGGGTAAAGTCAATTCTGGTCGGTGAAGTATGCTTGCTACCTCATATAACATGGCAGTTATTGTGTACCTCAGCCATTGGCGAAAGCTACCTAGTAGTGTTTCGCAACTTGTTGGTTTACGACCGATAAGGGGGTCCGAAGATCTGAGTGGGGCTATACATCTGAATGTATTCCACTGTTAGGCTTAGCCTTACAACTACATAGATTTTTCAGATTGCGATGGGGGTTTTCCCCAACGCACCCAAACAACATACATAGTAGGCTTAGGTAGGCACTACAATACAATAGGTACCCATGGAGACAAACAGGTTAAAACAGGCAAGGGCTTATCAAAGATTCGACAGCCATCATGCGAAGGACATGCGGAAACATTTTCTTCCGACACGGGATTACCTTGCTGTATTCATCTTCACTGGAATCTTGTTCATATCAATCCAGTTCGTAGCTATCCAGCACGTATCTTCCCAGTATATATCTTATATATCTTTCGTTCCAGTATGTACATCCATCCAACTTGTCCGTCTCTCCAGCATCCACATCTACGACTCAAGTAATGAGACTTCGGTATACTTACCACATTTTCCATTGCCTCACGTCATGGCTTACGACTACCTTCCTGACCAGCTCAATTACACCGAAGGGAGATAATCAAGAGGTGGCAGAAATCCGAAAAGTTTGTTTCATAACTGATTGAGAGGAACTGGACTCATAATGCACCCACGCTGTAGATAGATTACACAAATTATGGTCCTTCGAGTTCTGGCCTCTGGATCACCAAGTATTTCGAGCGAGTTACCAGTTAGCTAGCTAAGGAAGATTCTAGTATACGATCAGATCCTCCGCAAAAACACCATAACACAGACCATCATCCAAACCAACCCAGCCCGCTCACCTCCAGATCTCCCTCCCCAATACGAACCTATATACACACCAAACCGGCCCAAAATCAAACTCAAAAGCCAGACCGAGGATAAGGATTCCTCCCCCGCCCCACAAGCACCTCCCCCACAAACTCCCCGAACCCCACCGTCTTCAGGTCCGGATACAGCGCCCTGGCATCCAGATACCCCAACTCCGCCGCCTTCTGGGGTGTATTCTCGCGGCGCACGTACTTGCTGCACCGGTACTGCGCCAGGTACACCTGCGCCCGTTTCCAGAAATCGGTGGGATCCGCGGCCAGCTCCGCGAGCGCTTGATCGACGTTGCGAAGGGTTTCTTCCTCGGATTCCTGGCCCCCGCCTTCTCGTCAGCCCCAGTATTCCACAACCAACGCATGCCATACCCCCGGCTCCAAATTCACTCAACCCCGACCCCAACCCATAACAACCCACCAAGAACCCCCAAGGAAAGAAAAAAAAAGGGAACATACATGTATCCTCCCAACCCTCTCCCCCGAAACCGCCTCCACGATCTCAAAGATCTCCTCCTCGGACAACACCGCCGAGCACGTGTACACGGACCGGTTGCGCGTGCGCGGGTCCGCGACGATGCGCGCCACGAAGCGGCCGATATCCCGGAGATCG